CACCTTCAAAATCTCCAAGTTTCGAATCTCGTCAAAAAATCATCGAGCATACTAAGAAGAAAAATGACATTGTAAACTCACTAAACTCATCAGATTCAACCATAGCTAATGCTGATTGTTATGTGACACCTTTAAGAAGTTCTTTCAAGTAAACCTACAATTAAGTAAATCAAAAAAGGGAAAGCTCATTAGTAATTGTCCCACCTGAAAACAAAAAATGTCCTTATTGCACAAAAAAGACGAAGAATTGACGAATGTGATATTTTCAATTTAATAATGCTCAACCAGTTGAAGAGAAGATTTGGATTTATAAAAAACGATTTGTTGAGTAGAAGGGACAAGTGGTGACAATTATTAACTAGAAAATTTCATAGTGTCTCATAAAATAAACAAATTATCAATTACACAAATTTTGTTGCTATATAAATCTGAAATCATTTGAGATTTCACTGAGAACGTTATCATAAAATGCAGTTCTAAGGAAGCCAGTACTGCTTTCTAGAAATCACCTACTCTCTATCAAATGTACACTTCCGATTACCTACATTCATACGGTAACTGATACGGCTTCTTTGCCATTATATGGGACTTTCTTGACGTTCCTGCTTTCTCTTCTTCGGATATGCAATCTTCTAACTGCATGTATGCAGTTGTATCTAATACCAATAGGTATCTTGCTATTCTTGAACTATGCCGAATTGATATTTCCACATTCACAGTTAATCAATCGTTTAATAAATTCGAGTGATAATTCCTGGTGAGTCTAATTATTTATATAACATCAAACGATTTTGTGCATGTTTGTTATAGTTTTTGGTAAAAATAGTAATAAATTTTGGCCTATTAGACTCGAGATGAAATGCAGCTGAGCGAAATTTTCAAATACTTTAATTTTTTTGTGAAAAATAATCTGTGTAACGCCCAAGAACATTCAAGTTTTAAAACCCATTTTTTCTTTTTTTGGCTTCTTGAGAAAAGTTATGTGCTTTTTTGGTACAAATTCGAAGTACTTTCAGAAAAGTGGTCGTTGAAACTGGAAAATGTAATGTTTGATTATTTTTTCTTTCATTCAGAGGTAGAAAATAGTTTGCTTATATAATTTTTTCTATTTTCCTTATAACAAAGTTACCAACAGTGAAATTTGGATTACTCTGTATGAATATCACGATTTGAATGCAGATTATGATAACTTATTTGTAGAAATTTTTTTATAAATAAAAACGATCAATACTTCAGGAAATATTGAGACTGAAATAAATTAAATTTTGATATGGAATAAATAAACTCGTGGCGCTTTTCAGGAATTGTAAGGTTAAAATCTTGAAGGATAGTTTCAAGATTTTGACCTTACAAAGAAGGGTAATAACAAATACAATTTCATTGAATATAGAATATTGAGTCTAGGTTCATGATTCATCCTGTTACAAACAGTATCCTTTTCTCGTTATATTTTCAAGTTTTCCCTGGACTAGAATGATTTAGTCATCTGCATAGTATTTATATTCAGTATGGTCCGTATGACGTAGTAACTGTTTTTCATTAGTACAAGGTAGAACATAAAAATACGGAGAATCCCATCTACAGAAAACTCCAAGTCTATATTTTAGATGAATAAGGGATCTCGCCAAGCTCCGATGTCAATCACTGAATGATAATTCACTTTCTGTCTCTCAGCGAATTGCACTGCAACTAGATTTAACCAGAGTCGGTTCGAAAATGACTTTTAGTCTATCTCATAAGTGGCTTTTTGGTCAGAAAAACTTCTAAATGAACAGGGAGTATCAATGACTGTTTCGGAAAAAAGTTGTAGAGACCAATGAAAGATACACAGCAATATTACTGGAGTTTTTTCCCAACACCAAACCGTTATTTCAACACCTCGACTCGTGTTTCGATCACCAAGGGATCATCTCACAAAGCTATCCTTAGTTATACTATACATACCTGTCCTAGGTACCTACGTCTTGAGTATTTTAAATAAATTTTACAATTTGCCTCATCTACTTGTCTTGAATTAATTTACAATAAGGTTGTTTAGGTTTATACCAGGTGGTTCAGAAGTTATACCGAAATTTATGTCAAAAAATGATCTTATTCAGCAACAAATAGTATCTCCTATGCGATCAAATAGATTGAGGAAACTTTTCAACCAAATATCCTCAAGGAAGGGTGTATTATCTTTTCATCTTCATAAGTTTACCGAGCAGCGCTTTTTCTATATAACAGTAAACAAAACTCGGGATCTCTTTTTTCTCAGGTTTCTCAAATGGAACACCCAGTCCCAGTATAGTTCACATTTTACGCTTTCAGAAAATGTCGGGATTGACTACTTTTTTTCGCAGAAAATGTGTCTGATTCTTGGGAAACATATGAAAAAGTCAATAAATAGAAGTAATAATGTTTTTTTATTCAGTGCTGGACAAAACAAGTATCACAAATTCACAAAAGATATTCGAATTTTCTTTCATTTCGAGCTATGCATAAATGTAAGTTATCCACAATTTCCCTTCGAACTTCAACTGAAGTTGATTTTGTAATAGATACTTCTCTGATCATATTTATCATTTCTTCGGTTAAAAAAATCATTTCGAAGAAAAAAAAAATAGATTGACAATTCCTATAACATTCAAATGTTCCAAGCGAAGGTGATTTGATATGACTGGTGTCGTTTGTTTCTTTCGATAGACCTCCCCTTTAACATATCCCCATAAATAGAAATCTAGGAGCGTGAGGTCTCGGGATCGTGCTGGTCAGTAAATGGGTCCATTTCTTTCAATCCATTTATTTCTAAGCCACCTATTCAAAAACCTCCTTACCCGATTTTGGTTGTGGGTTGGCGCGCCATCATAATGGTTATATGACCTATGCTTTGTGTCAATCGGTACATCCTCCAACAAATTTGATGAACTGATAGATTGATTCAACGAATTCTTTTCCTCTATCACAAGAAAAACAATAATGGAAGTCCGAAGAGAAATTGTAGGTATACATAATTGATGACTTTTTCATACTTTCCTCAAGAATTAGATACATTTTCGATAGAAATAAAGTGTCAATTTCTACATTTTCTGAAAGCTCATAGAGTGGACTATTCTGGGATGGCCCATGTATAGGGTGCTTCATTTGAAAACACTGAAAAAAAGTGATCCCGAGTTTTGTTTACCCCTGTATAAATTTATGAAGACGCAATAAAAATACACCAACCTCTAGGATATTTGGTTGAAAAATTTCTCATTTCATTTGACAGAGTAGGTATCGATTAAACCCATTTTTTGATATAAATTTCATTATAACTTCTACCCGGTATAACAAACAACTCTATATTTTCAAGAAGCAGTCTGCCTAAGAAATTCAATCGAGTGGAAATGTCTGAAGTATTTTATTGAAAAAAAAACATAAGTTTGGTCTGTCAGACATTTATTGGTCACCCTGCATAATAATAATAATAATAATCAAAATAAAATGTATTCATCCTTCAAGATCATACACATGATATAGGACAAGTCATAAAATGTATATACACAGACATATATTGGTACACATATATACATACGATAAACAAATAACCATATTACTTTAAAAAATATCGTCCATACAAACAAGCAATCAACAAATCAAAAGATTATGCGAATTCGCAAAATATTCACTTGTGTCATAAAAGCTGGATTCCACTAAATATTTTTTCAATCTTGTTTTGAATTTATGAGACGAGTCATGGACTTTATTTAAACACAATCATAAAATACAAATCAATTCAGAGAATCAAGTTTATGAAAGAAAGAAAGAAGAGACAATAAATCACCTCAAAGGTGCTGCTTCGTTCTCTCCTGTTCATGAAAGAGGACATATGCCTCATCACTCACAAGCAATTTTGCCGAAATTGGGGACACGTGTGAATCGTTGTATTTATGCCACGTGCCATCATAACGGTGTCTGCAAAATGCTGTGTAATGTCCGTTGTAAGTAGTCCCACTGTGATTCGAAAGTGCATATAGATTATAACGACAAGGAGCCACATTTTCCCAATATTTTTTCGTTTGTGATATCACTTAGGAGATGATTGAAAAATCATATTCCATTATACTTAGGACTGCTTTCGTAAAGTGACGTATGGTGCTTTGTACTTCTACATAAGTCACCATGCCTCGTAGCATAGTCATGAAAGTCAGAATTTTTTGAGAAGCTCTTGATGTTGAATTTTAGATATTTTACAGTTTAATTTTACAGTAATTTAAACTTTTTAAAATGATTCCTATACGTCATTCGGTAATCTGAGCCAAAGATTAGACGGATTAGTCTTTTTTGACTCTGCGGGCATTGGCCGTACTTTCTCAAAGGACAATATTTAACATGCGTGTATTCCACGTCAAATTTGCATCTAAATATGTGCCCAGAATTTTATTGAATCCGAAAAACATATATCAGTACTAATTGTTGAAATATAGCTTCCATTAGTCTCTACAACTCTTTCCCGTAACATTTTTTTTATATATCTAATGGGAAAGTAGTTATCGTCCACCCACTTATCGTTGATACACCCTGTATGATGAGATTTATCAATATTCTCTTTATGAAATGAGCATGATGGCTTACCAAAACGCCATCTCTGGAGTCGACAAAATATTCAAAACGCTGACATTCACTGAAAACTTAGCTTCAACACGAGAAATCGCTTTCTATCTATCTGCAGATTCCACTGCAATCAGACATAATCCAACACCAGACATGGCTATTTTGATTTGGTATGGATCTCAACAGTGGTACTTGGCTGGTTCCCATAGACTCTTTTGTTTTGTTCATTCACCAAAAACTCAATTTAAACATATTCATGACTCAAACCATTACCATTGACGATATTTACGAAAGATTGAAAGAGTAGTTTGAAGTTTTGGATAACAAAATTAATATTTTTTGAGCACCTGATTAGAGGTGATTACTCTCCACTTGATCCGCTAGTTGGTTTTTAAATACTTACGAATTTATTACTTTCAAGATTCACCATGACGTCCAACAGCATATATATTTTGAATAACCGAAATTGGGTATATGAAAAAAATAACGACTTCAATAATAACTACGAACTAGATTCAACAACCAATAACATTGGAGATTTCTACAGAAATTCGAATATTTTCGTAACAGGGGGAACAGGATTCGTTGGAAAGGCGTTGATAGAAAAACTTCTTAGAACATGTTCGGATCTGAATCAGATTTATTTACTGATGAGACCAAAAAAGGGATTAGCCGTCCAGGAGAGACTGAGAGAATTGTGGAACAATCCTGTAAGTAAAAGGAAATAAATATTTCCTAAAATCCTTCAATCCTCTAAGTGTCATTTTCAAACATCTGCTTTTTTTCTTATTTAATGTATTCAAAACCCACTATACTATGAGGTTTACACTAAAAAGTTTTACAAAATCGCTACACGTGTTTCACCATACACTGGCTTCTTCGGGCGTGTAAGTAACTTACAGTAAAGACACGTCCGGGCGTATAAGTGACTTACAGTAAAAACATGCCCAAAGAAGCCATTGTATGGCAATACATGAAAAAAACACTAAAATCGTTGTCATACTGTAGTCATCAAACAGGAACTTCCGAACATTGGGAATTGATAACGGCAATCTTGTTTAAGCTACATCTAACGAATTAGTTGTCGTTTGTTCAGTCAGTTTTGCCAAATCACCTTGGACGGCTATAGCATTCAACAACACGTGCAAATAAGAAAATGGGTGTTCTGTTAGGGCAACGTACCGCGCGCTTCGCCCCTTTTGCGGTCGCCATAATCATCCTACCATAAGGACTATTTGCAATGTGGTGAATAGATTCGAATCCACTGATTCAATAAACGATCGACCAACACCCGTACGTTGACGGAACTTAAGATCTGAAAACATCGCCGCTGTCTGTGAGAGTGTACAGGACAATCCAAGGCAGTCGATTTTGCGCCTCTCACAAGAACTAGGCCTTTCGCAGACCACAACTTAGCGAATTTTGCATCGTAACTTGGGCCCCCACCCGTACAAAATTTTCAACTGACCCAGGAACTGAAGGTAAACGACCATACACATCGACGTGTATTCGCTAAATGGGCTCTGGAGCAGTTGGCAAATGATCCGGATTTTCATCGAAAAATCATCTTCAACGATGAGGCCTATTTCTGGATGGTGTGAATTTTGGACTGGTGGCGTCATCTGGGAAAAAATGGAAAGGGGGGTCTTGTGATACATCTTTTTGAAGCTCCTGACAAATGCTTCACAACCCTAGAATATAATGTAAATGTTTTCAACTACTACAAAATGGCGGAACTTTTAATAATTGCCTGAAACATTGACATTTAACTACATAATATGAGGTAATAAGCTTGANGATATTAATGTGTTTGTCTTCAAGAAATTATTAAATGTTCCGTCATTTTGTAGTAGGTGAAGATATTGACTTCATATTCTAGGGTTGTGAAGTATTCGTCAGGAGCTTCAAAATGATGTGTCACAAGACCCCCCTTTCTACTCAATTTTTTTTCCTCAGATATCGCCCATTCCCCATCTTGAAAGTTTCATCTTCAAAATAAAGTATTCATGCATTCATTTCATTTCCACAAATTTTAATTTTTTGAGTTAACCCATTCAAAAAATAAAAGGGGGGGACATTGAAGAAATGTACTGTATGAGAGCCTCATACATTTTTTAGGTTTTCAATAAAGTGAGAGAACATAATCCGGACGCTTTGAAAAAATTAAAACCTGTATCGGGAGATATTTCTTTACAAAACTTAGGAATGGGCACAACGGAACTCTCTCTAATACTAGAGCAAACGAATATAGTTTTTCATTCAGCAGCAACTGTAAAGTAAGTTGTTCAGATTATCAATCTAATTAATGTAAATATATTTTGAATATCCCATTATTATACAATAACCTTCCACAGATTCAACGAAGACTTGAAAAATGCCATAATTTATAATTCTTTAGGCACAAGAAGAGTATTAGAAGTCTGCGCAAAAATGCAACAGCTCAAGGTGAGAAAATTTCAATAATTTTTTATTGTATATCTCGTTCAGTGAATCAATAGTTAAAGTAACTACTGAAAACAATTTATTTTTTAATAAGTTTGAAAACTAGCAAAGAAAAACATAAAGTTACTAAGTAAGTAATCAAATTATCCAAAAATAAGTTTACAAAATAAATGATTTTCCTCATTAACTGAAGTAGATTTCTGAGATTTTTTTGTTAAGGAGAGAATTGATAGTAAAATTACATTGTTGACATAAATTCACTTCAACAATACGTACAAGAATATTTCTTTTTTTTTGTATCATCGACATCGACTACATTGGGCATTAGCCTCGTGTCCTGGGTAGGCAATGTTAATAACTCCCCGAGCCACCTAGGGAACATCATGACTATTCGCAGTCCGCCAGCCTTGTGACGTTGCAGAATCATCCCAACTTCAACTAGATAAATTCTTTCCAGAAAAATATCTGGTCGAGGTTGGTATCGAACTCACGATCTTCCAATCGTGAGTCGGGCGCACGACCACTGCGTCAATTCACCGCTATATATCATATTGTTTAATTTATTTTTGTATTGAAGAATATTTCAAGTGATGTTGAAATTATGTAATAATAATAATAAATAAGCAGGGATGACCACCAACACCTGAGGCCTTTGGTGAGTTGCGCCACCAGTTACCCGAGCAACTGGCGCAAAGCCGGACCGGCTTTGAACACCAGGGAGAAAGAACACTATTCTCCCTCCGGAGCAGGCCGTGGGTCTACAGGGCTAATAACCTGGTAGACCCAAAACTTGGCTCCTGAGAATCAAGAAAGAGGCCCCCACAATAGACCCGCTCGGAGTGGTCAGAGGCAAGGTGATTGGATACATAACGATGATTTGCCTACCGATGACAACCCTGACAATGATAACGGAATCTTTGAACGAAGACCTTGTGCATTGTTACGAAAGTAGTGAGCCCGCGAAATCCGAAGCATGTCGCCTTTTGCGCCCAAAGTCCTAGGGATTACGTATCCTATCTTCGGCGGTAAGGATTTATACCGCAAGGCATTTGATACAACATCGCATGAGCTCATCTTGCATTTACTAAGATACCTTTCGGTACCCAACCAAATAGTGGTATGCCTTGAACAACACTCTGAGTCCAAACAGTGTGTGTGACTTTCAGAAGGGGTGTATTTCTGGGCGATTCCCTCAGTCCATTTCTCTTCTGCATCTCACTATTGCCATTATCCGTTGCGCTCAGAAATACTGGAGGGCATGACTGTGGCACCTCCGGAAACCGGAGGCACAAGGTCACCCATTTGTTTTATATGGATGATCTCAAACTTTACGCCTCTGTAGAGAAGGATCTCCATCAGTCGTTGAGGGTGAGGGCATCAATGTATAGAGTACAAAATTCTCTTTCGATCAGTATACACCAATACACCACGACACAGGAAAATAAATATTTATGGAGATATGGAGCTACAGAAACACATGATATTGAAATGGACAAAACTTTTTTGAAACAACCTAACAGTCATTATGGCTAATTATATCTACTGTATACCATAAGAAAATCATTCTGAATTCTCAAAGTTATCTTCAATTTCTATTTGCTTCAATTCTTTTTCAGAGCTTCGTATATGTTTCAACCGCATTTAGTAACGCAGATAAAGAGAACATTGAAGAATTCGTTTACGAATTCCCTTACAATCCTGATTCTCTAATAAATTGTATTGATATTCTCCCAAAAGGAGCAATCGATATATTGTTGAAAAAAGTTTTGGTGAGTATAGAATATATTTTATTTTCTTTCTTGACCCATCTATTCAGTGGCGGGTACGAAGATTTTCGATTTTGAGAAAAATTTTTAATAGAGCACGCACAAATCTGGGAAAAAAGCATCCCCTTTCCCCCTCCTTATTATACAGGGCGTTTCAACGAAAAATTGACATCCCCTGTAAGTCAGAAACGGACATGTAATCGAAAATTTCAGAGAACACGTAAATTTTCATTTTTAGTGAGACTAATTCTAATATGAAAATTATACCCGAAACTTCAGCAACTACCCCCCCTATTTTTTTCAATGGCATGGGGGTCGAGTGATACATCATTTGAAAGGTCTTTTGTTCCTCTATTACCTTTGTAATTTCAATGAGAAAATTAACAACAAATAATATCAGTGGAAACAAAATCAACGGATAAATTATTCAAAATAACCTCCACCTAGTTCCATACAATAATACAGTCTACTCTCGAAAGCGTGCCGTACATTATTCAAGATGTCCGAAGTCAGCAATCGGCATTCCCGAACAATTCTTTGTCACAGGTCTTCTAGATTTGTGAGCTTAGTAGAGTACACTTTCGACTTCAGGTGTCCTCACAGAAATAAGTCCATCGGTTTGAGATAAGGTTATCTAGCTGGCCACTTCACTGGACACCTTCTGCCGATCCAACGCATTGGAAAACGTTCGTCCAAAAACTATCTCACCAGACCATGTGGAGGTGCACCATCCTGCTAAAAAGTTATTTAATTTTCTAATAAATTGTCATCATTATTTAAAATTTGTGTAATTATAGAATCTACACAGTCTTGTAATAGATGTAAGTATATGTCTCCATTGACATTAACTTCAATGAAGAATGGTCTAACAATATGATTAATAAGAATGCCGGCTCAAACATTCAATTTTTGTGGAGTTTGTGAATGTGTTCTACAATCGAAACCTATTTTCTAGGTTTTCAACCTTCCACAATCTCAAAAATAAATGAATCTAGTTCAATCAAGAATCTGCCTTATTGTAATATAGGGCAATTCGAAAAGTTCACCTCGAAATGTTACTGCATAATGTTCATATATTTATTCATTTCATACACTATTCTACAGGATGAACTCAATTACAAAATAGAAAAAATCTAATAAATGACCGTCGGGTCTGAATTGGCGATCCCTATATAAGTACTACTAATGAATATATAATAATCATCTCAGTTTACGCGCACCAGAGAAATAAACCCCCCTGTATATGGAATGGTTCAGCCAAATGCATTTATTTTTTAATGTAGTTTGGTAGTGTGAGAGTTGCTGCCAGAAAAAGTTGGAAATCCATCCTGATCACACGGATTGAGAATTACTAGGCAACTTGGTCAACAGCTGAATTTTTCCTACCTTCTAATCTTCGTAGAAAAATGGCTTGGTAATGCCACCAATTATATCCCCAGAGACTGGATTCGGCCACGGCTTAAATGCGTGGTCTTTTAGGGGTTTGAGGGAATGAAATAATATTAGCAGAGTTTTCACAAACCAACTTTATTGATGAGTAANTTATGGTCCGAGATAATATAACGCCAATATACCTCCATCATAATTCAACCTTTTTTTCATCTAAGTGTAACACTAATTTGTATAAACTTTGTTTGTTTTGTTAATTTTCAGGGAAAACATCCTAACACATACACTTTGACGAAAGCTATGGCAGAACAAATTGTTCAAAAGAGTTCTGATACCATTCCATCTGCTATAGTTCGGCCATCAATTAGTAAGTATCCAAAAAAACTAAATTTATGAAAAATTAGGGGTTTTACAGGTTCAGCAAACTGAGATATATCGCTACCTAAAAGAGGGATCTCGTTTATAAAATTCATTGTCATAATTTTAAATCAAAACATATTAAATATGGAAAATATTGTTACGTTTTTTCCCGTGGGTTCACCAATAATTGACTACACTGAATTATTAAACTTAACATCATTTCACTTTAAATACAACAAACACTTCAACTAAAAATGTATTATTTGAACGTCTATCGTCTTACTAGATCACTTCGCGTCCCGCACTGTAGCTTCCACTTGACTGTGTCGATATGCTCGAAGCTAGCATATAAATATCGTAATCGATAGTAGTCGGTAGCATTATTCTCGCTGCTTCTCCAGTGGCGGGGAATCATCGTGCATTCGCGCGCTCTTAGCCACGTTACGTTTGGTTTATGGTTACCAGTGCCGACCGGCGTTATTTTTTTTTGGGCATGATTTACAATAATATGTTAGTTGAATATGTAGTGTACTGTTCAAAAAATAAAGTAAATGTTCAAATTTTGCGGGCTACGTACATTCGATTTGCGATGTTTTCATTTTTTATGTTGATACACCTGTCTTGAACATATGTTCACTATTTCGGCTGTTTAGCATGTTTGGTTTGTTGCTGAGAGGTATAAAAATTAGGTGTGTTTGCATTGAATTTTATGCGAAAAATGAAATTAAGTGCTCAAAAACACTTCAAATGTTGACAGTGGCATACGGTGATTGTACTCTGAGTGGTACAAGCTTTTCACAGACGGGTGAGAAGATATGAATGGCGAAACTCGCCTTAGATGCCCCAGGACATCCAAAACCGATGAAAATGTTGAGGAAGTGAAGAAAAGTGTTATGGAGAATCGTCGAATGAGGATGTCGGATATGAGTTAGCTCATGCTATGTAATTTTTTCGTGAATTTTGGATATGTAGAGTGTGGCAGTGAAGTTCGTTCCAGAATTGCTAAATTTTGACCAAAAAACCGTCGCAAGAGCATCACTCAGAAATTATAAAATGACGTCAACGGCGATCCAGATTTGCATGAAAGGGTCATAACTGGTGACGAATCATGGTTATACGGTTATGCCATCAAAACCAAAGTACAACCGTCCCAATGGAAGAGCCCAGGAGAGCCAAGACCAAATAAACCACGCCAAGTTCGCTCAAATGTCAAGGTTTTGCTTGCTCGTAATTTTTTTGGCCTCATCCACCGTACTCACCAGATTTGTCAACCTGCGACTTTTTCCCATTCCCATGATGAAACGACGGTGTTTTAAAAATCTGTTTTAAAATCTGTTTTTCCGTTAATCAGCTGTCGCCCCCATACGAACAACAACTCTCAGAAGTTGAGAAACGTGTGCGAGCTAAGGACTAACGAGGTCTTACCTTTTAACGTGTGATTCCTAACACGGTTTTGCGACGATTGAGGAGATAAAAACCGAATCTCTGAGAAAGCTCAAGGACATACCAAAAAGAGCATATTAGAACTGCTTAGAGGATTTGAAAAACCTCTGGCACAAGTGAATTATATCCAAGGGAGCTACTTTGAAGGGGACAAAATAGAAATTGATAAAGAAATAAATATTTTTTGAAAAAAAAAATTCACATCATTCACATGTCTGAAGGTAGTCATATTGAACATTTACTATGATTTCTACATGTTGTGTGTTCATTACCCTTCAACCGTGTAATGCAGGTACTAACTACAAAATAACAATAAATCCAGTTCGCATTTATGACGATGTATCTCTGTAGTTGTTCGTAAAATAATTTTTTGCTGCGAACTAGTTTATTTTGGGCAAAAAACCCAAGAGACATTTTTTGTTTAGAATGAAACAGGCTACCGGAAATGAATTTTTGAATGGTAAACAAATAATAAGGCAAAAAGTTAGATTGAAAATAAATTTTAGGGGTTGCGTTTTCCACCCCTTACAACCATGGGGGTAACCATATAATCATGGGGTAAACCATATAAATTACTGGCTTAGTGTCTTTTTGGTAGTACAAAACGTCAGGTTAATTTCAATATTGTAACTTTTTCAGTGCTTGTGAAAAAAATTGTTATACAAATTTAATGTACCACCTTTAAGGGGCTGTACCTTAACAAGGGATGTTCCAATGAAGTTTATATGAAGGATCCTATCTTTTTTTGATGAGGAATCACCTCCTTGAATAACGTATTCCAAAAACACTTTATTGTGAGATTTTCACTAAATTGTTTTACAAAAACGCAACACGTGTTTCGCCATACAATGGCTTCATCTGGCGTGTCTTTCAACTAATTCTACACATTCAATACTAAATATATATATATAGTTTATGGAATTGCCTATCTGTACCAGTAAAACATACTAAGATATCATCTACGTATCTGTACCAGTACAATTTAGTACAATTTAGTGAAAATCTCACAATAAAGTGTTTTTGGAATACGTTAGTTATGGATTTTCATCAAGTATCGGCCGATTCCATCATATACCTCCTTGAATGTTTTACACTTATTCAGTTACACCCTGTATAGTACAAGACATTTTCTTATTTTTTCCACACAAAATCGGTAGTATTTAAACTTTTCGTATAAAGTGAACAAGAAAATCAGAGTTAATAAAAAAATGATGGTAACTGAAACATAGGATACATTTAGTTTATCGCAAAATGATAGTGAGTGAAATTGAAACTTTACTGACAGTCTCCGCATTTCTTTTTCAGTAACAGCAGCCTGGAAAGAACCGTACCCTGGGTGGGTAGACAGCGTGAGTGGTATTACAGGGATATTCATGGAATGTGGAAGAGGTACAATCAAATCCATAATTTGTGAGGAGAAATATAAAATAGATGTAATACCTGTCGATATAGTTGTTAATACCCTCATAACTGCAGCTTGGCATACCGTTGCAATGAGGTAATCTGAAATATGGCAAAATAAATATTTCTATCAATTACCTACTAAATTTTCTATATGCAGTCATTCAGAATTCCGAACACCTTCAAGAATAGAGTTCTAGATCATTCTAGTTCATCATCTTATATTTTTATAAGTATTCGCAATTTTTTTTACATATTCTTCAAGGTCGAATACGATGAGAGTTTACAACTGCACAAGTGGGCGAACGAATCCATTAACCTGGATTGAGATGAAAAAATTCACTGAAAAATATTCTATCGAGTACCCCAGCAAGTATGTGACTTGGTACCCAGGATTTACCTATAGAACCAACAGAACGATGCATATATTCTACGCTACTTTGTTTCATTTCATTCCATCTGCTATTTTGGATATCTATTTATATACCACTGGACAGAAACCAATGTGAGTACAACCAAATACAGTTCGTACAGTTTAACAACGTATCTTCCTTCAAATTCACCGCTACTTCGGGAGTTCCGCAGGGATCGATTTTGGGACCTCTCCTTTTAGTGTTATTTGTTAATGACATTTCTCGGTATATCGGGCATTCTCAATTTCTCCTATATGCCGATTATCTCAAGCTGTTTAGAAGAATTGAAAGCGAAAAAGATTCTGTTTCATATTGTAATATTTTATATAGATTTTAACTGTATCAATGGTATTCAATGAATACTATATGTAAGGAACTTTTGAAAAAACTGTACATCATGTAAGTGGAAACCATTCTGTTTATTGTTCAGTATAAATAAATGTCTATTCTTTTCTATTCTAAAATTATCAATTTGGAAAACAAAACATTCTAAAAAGTGTCAACAATGATATCCTTCATAACTAATTTTCATCCTGATGACTGCTTGGTTTTTCTCCCATTAAATTCACATATTGCATGTTGAAATCTTCAGATGGTTATGTACAGGAATGTAAGAGATGATAAAAACCTCCCTAGAATTTGCATTTTTTCTCCGATTTCGAAGAACTTCATTTTGAATTGTTGAGCTGAAAAAACTGTACTTTTTTGTACTGTACTTTCTGGTGGAGGAAAGTTATGTTTTTTTTTGTATGGCGTGTGTTGCGAGAAAACATTAAACTCATAAAACAAGTCAATAAAGGAAACCGAAAGGACATCTGGGAATACTTAAACATCCATAAATTCAAAAATCATAATTCACTTATCGAGAAACAAATACAAATCAAAACACAACAAGACCTAACATTCGATATACTAAGTTTAACAGTCCAACAAACAAAATTAATAGTTTAATACCTTTTTTATATTTATCTTTCAATCAAAATTTACACCAAGTCATGTTACAACAAAACTAATATGATTCAAAAATTATTCGTAGCGTTACAATGCTTCAACTGATCTCAGTTCAATAGATATTCAAGAGTATTTATTATTGAACTCAGTTTATTGACTTTTTTTTGTAGGAAATTAAATTTGCTTCAAAACAATTTTCGTCAAGCAAACACTCTACGATCAACAGTGTTTGAGCTGTAGAGTTGGAAAGGTGAATGTTAATAATCAGTGATACCAATTTTTTTTATTGAATTTTTTTGATCATACATTGAATATTATTTACAATAAATGCTACAAAATTATTGAATTGGTAGTTTTAGAAATGACATTTTGTATTCAGTAAATAGAGATAAATTTTAATCTATACCTAGTTACTCTTAATATCAATGATCGAAAATTAAAATTTTTGTGCATATTTTATTTCTCAAACTTCTAATTTCATTCGAATTCCACTTTCTAACTTTGAAAACGAAATTTCATAAATTTCGATTTAAAACTCAGAGTTTTGTCAAATTCCGAGTAAAAATTCGGAATTCTTTTAGGTTACAACTTTAAACTTGAAACTTAGTGAATTTTACTTTTTGTGAACTTATATGGCAACTCAGGCGAATCACGTGGTAAGACAGCCTACTGTCATCAGTAGATATATCATTCGTATTCTAGTATTTTCACGACCTAGTTCTTACGCGATCTTCGTCTGTTCGAGAAACTTTTTACTTGTTTCGCGGAGAAGGTGTGACGTCACGGTACAGCACCGCGCTCAGTGGCAGTTCTCCGCGGTAGTGAGACCAACGGCGTAACAAAATTTATTTTCATTAGAAGTTAGATCACAGCGATATCAGTGACTGTACCTAAGCATCTCAGTTTCAGGAAAAATTAAATAAAATTCAAAACAATTAGCAAAACTTTAAGAAATGTTTTAAAATTTTCGATTCTTGAAATGTTATTTTAGATAAATTGCTTCTTTTTTGAACAATGCATTCAAAACTAAATCCTCAACAAATATCAACCATACTTAAATATTTCTTTTGAATTTGCAGAATGTTGAAGATAAGTCGCAAATTTCACGAAGCATTGCAGGCGGGTAGTTTTTTCTCTACGAATCAATGGAACTTTCAAGTATCGACGATGCAAACCCTTCAAAATGCGATCGATACTGCCAAAGATGGAGGGGAATTCGAAATAAATATAAGCGAGAGTAACGGATTCAGTTGGGACCAGTATATCAAAAATTTCATGATAGGAGTCCGACAGTATGTCCTCAAGGATGATATTAGTAGTCTTGCACAAGCTCGGGCGAAATTGTACAGGTAAGATTTCTTTACTTATTGGAAATTCAAAACAAGCAATACTTCCCCGGTATCGAATTAGCGAAGAAAGATATATACATTTTTATCTCGATAGTTATTGATGTGTAATATGTGTGTATTTTTATCGGTGTTGAAAAAATAACTATTTGCGTTGTTGAATAACAGTTTCTTCGAAAGTAATGACACAAAACTTAAACATTTTTGGGAAAGAAAGTTTTTGGCTTTCTACTACTCCATCTTGATACAAAAAAGGATGAGGGAATCTTCCACAGAAAGGAAGGAAGTAATCAATTCGAAAATAAGTAACTCTATACATGGAAGTGTAGATCATGCAAAGAAGTAACTTTCAGACACAAACTGAGAGAAAGTCCTCCTGAAACAGCTACTTTCATATAAACATTGAATTACACGAATGAAAAAAATTCTTTCGAAACAAATACTTCTATATGAACACTGAATTATACAGAAGATACTTTTCTCTACTCAGTTTGTATTTCAAACATCCGTTGTGGAATCAGATATCATTCATATGAGTTCTACTTTTAATGAATGGTAATAAATTGCACTTACATGGAACACTGTCACCCTCACTGGTATACACCGATGTTTCGCCTTAAGACACTCGCCCCAAGGCTCTTCAGTACCAAATTGGATAACATTATAGAAAATACACACACTTCATTTTCATGAATTACGATTTTGAATGTCACGGAATAAGCTTGATCTGCTTATGTCATCGATGACATCGTAATGACATTCATTCACCTATTTGATTTAATCCCAGCCAAGAGGAATATTTTTTTTGTATCAAAATGGAGTAGTAGAAATCCAAAAACTTTCTTTCCCAAAAATTAATCACTCCTAAAAATATAACCCCTTCAATTCACTTAAAAATTTTATCCATTACATTAATTTTTTTAGTAAACTTTGTTATTTAGCAATACCATGACAGTAACTAGCATAATCAAACCATCAGTATAATGAGTTTTTTCATTAATTGCTGTTTGCTCGAATTGTATTTCTCAAAAATAAGTTTTTATTTTAAAAATGGACATAAATCTGAGAAAATTTTCCGGTTCTAGTGGTATGCCTCAAAATTTTATGGATGAATTTCCAATTTTTACGAGAACTTTGCTATTCAGCAATACCATGATAGCATGTTGCTGCATGATAAAATCACGAGACTATTTCCTGAAATAGTCTTAGGTGAATGAATCGATATAAGAACAAAATATCGACTATCAAATTCAATCAATTTTATTACCCGAATAGCGAAAAATTCCAATGAGAATTTTTGTTGGAAAGCACTTACTACTGAACTAGTAAGTAGTAGGAAATTACAGCCGGTTCTGGGCCTCCCCATCACTGTGACGTCATTATTAGTATAGACCTTGACTGACGTCACACGACCTTGAGCTATGTGCAAGGTCATATAATCTTGAACATGGCTGTTTGCCTTGATATTCTAGTCTGTCTCAGATATGTGACCTTAAGTTTTGACCTCAAAGGACGCCTGAGGTTTGATCTTGAAGGACGTTCATCTTGAACGTGGAGTTTGACTTCGATCAAAAAATTTGACTTTGGGATTAGGGGGCTAGATTGCTGTCAAGTATTTACAGAGTGAATACACGTCTGTATATCACAAAGATCCACCAACAAAATATACATTATTGAAGACACAATGGTTGAATATATGAACAGAGTACGTAAATGATTGAATTCCCATCTTTCCACAATAATATTCCATTGTTGAATTCTATCATGCCTCAACATGAGACCGCAGAGCCAGCGCCAAAGTTACCCGACTCAATTGAGGGGGTTAGATGCATTAATTGTATGTCGCGTATTCTTTTCGATTTCAATGAAATTACTACTATTCAAAATAATATTTCGATTTGAATAAAAAATGTCTCATGATATACATACATTGTTTGTATTCAACTTGGAGTTTGAATTGGATGATTATTGAGGTTATGTGAATCTGTGATGTGTGGCAATTCGTTTTTAATTCCGTGTCTTGTATCTGTTCACAGAATTGGAGAGTTTCATTTGATTTATACATTCATCTGAATTATCCCAGTAGAGTTAGGTTCTAGTCCCTGTCATAAGATGATATCAAATTGAACCTCTGAATTTCTATAACCACAGACTGCTACAGTGATACTGTAGGAGTGTTACTGTAGCTGAGTGTAACTCAATATTCATTATTTCAAGAAGATAATATTTTTTCAGGTTATTTTGGTTTCAGAAAATAGTTCAAACTATTTCGCTGTACACCATCACGAGGCTGATTTCATACTGCTTTTCAAAAATAATATGAATTTGGAAATCCATGCTTTTATATATGTTACTATATATTTCTGATACTGGTAAGTGAAAAAATCGTACCAAGCATTAAATATTTCTAGTTTTTCAAGTAGCACTTTATTGTGAGTAGGAGTTGTAGATTTTCACAATTAACAAAACCGCAACATGTGTAGCATCATACAATATTTTCTTCTATGTACCAACAGAATTCTACTTATTCAGTGCTTTCACGTAGATTGTTGAAAAAATAAGGTGAATGCCCAAATTTCGAGGGCTACGCAGATTCGATTAGCGATTTTTTTTATGTTGCTACACTTGTCTCGGGCATATGTTTAGTTTCAGCTGTTTAGCATGTTCAGTTCGTTGGTGAGAGGCATAAAAGTTAGAAGTGTTTTGCTTGTTCGGCGATTTTCTGCTATCGGAAAAAATGGATAAAAGAATTCGCATAAAATTTTGTTTAAAAAAATTGGCTTGAGTGCTTAAAAACACTTGAAGTGTGGACAGTAGCATACGGCGATGTATTCTGAGTCAGAAACATGTTTACAAGTGGTACAAGCTTTTCACAGATGATCGAGAAGGTGTGAATGACGACGTTCGCCCTGGACGCCCCAGCACATCAACAACCGATGAAAACGTTAAGAAAGTGAAGAAAATTGTTATGGAGAATCGTTAAATCATGAGGCAGCGAGGTTTATGTCAGAATTGCTTATTTTTTTACCAAAAAAATCGTCGCATTAGCATCGCTCAAGTATTGTTGAATGACGTCAACAGCGGTCCAGATTGGCATTGAAGTGTCATAACTGGTGACGAATCATGCGTATATGGATATGATATCAAAACCGAAGTCCAATCGTCCCAATAGAAGAGCCCAGGGGAGTCAAAACCAAAAAACACGCCAAGTTCAATAAAAGGCCAAGGTTTGGCTGACAGTTTTCTTCGGTTACCGTGCCGTAGTACATCAGGAGTTCTTGTTACGTGGTAGTATGGTCAATAAGGAGTATTATCTTGAATTAATGTGCCGCTTGCGAGAAGCAATATAAAGAAAACGTCCGGTATCGTGGAAAAACAATTAATGGCTCTTGCATCACGATAATGCACCTGCTCATTCGTCTGGTCAAAAACAACACCGTAATCATGCCTTCGCCACGGTGTTCACCAGATTTTGTCCCTCTGTGACTTTTTCCTGTCTCCAAGATTGGCGAGACTCATGAAAGGACGGCGCCGACAGACCGGATTCGGAGTACTAGCTCCTTGTTTGTCATTGCTGGGTATGTCATTTCAGACAGGGTGAACCGTATGAATATTCCTGAAAAAAAATTCTAACCAGACATAAGCTATGCCTGCAGTTGATTTAGTATTATATGTACCACCTGCAGACAAGGTCCGGAAGCAACTCCACAAACACATACACAGGAGTGGGAGTCGGAATAATAAAAATATTCCGGAGGTGCATATGATATGTCCAACTTTTAGTAAAAATACCAAAACGTTCTCTCATAAGACCTACGATTTTGTAGGTACGTGCGGCAGATATCCATAGGAGAACACCAATTTTTGTTATTGGCACGTTTTGTTTAATGTTATATACGTCCATGATGATATGGCAAAACATACTGAATAAATGACAACTAATTTGACAGATGTAGCTTCAACAAGATGGCCGTTATCAAACGGCAAAGTTTGGAAACACCTGTTGGAGAGACTCTATGTATATATCTGATATAGGTAGGTCTTTATGAAAACAAAGACCTATTATTATTATTACTATCATTATAATTAAATGATCGCACATATGAATTTAAACTGCTATAAATTATTCTTATCAAAAATGAAAAGAGATCTGGAAAAAAATATTTTTCAGTCATTNTTCGTAGCTTTACAATGCTTCAACTGATCTCAGTTCAATAGATATTCAAGAGTATTTATTATTGAACTCAGTTCAGCTAAATTATAACTTGCCCTAAAAACTAAACGTATCCTAAAACACTACTTTTAGAATCATTATTGACAGTGTGTATAGCAAATACCTATATGTTTCTTACATTCTTGTTATATGTACAAGTCTTCCGGTAGTGTTTTCAACGCTACGTTAACATTTCTCCAGAATCATGTTCGAGATTTCATTTTAAAAAGGGTTGAAAAAACATGAATGAAAATGTGTTCTTTTTTTTAGTGTTTTCAATACTAAGTTAAAAATTTGAAATATGCATCTTTTAGGCTAGAGTTTTCAAATATAAATTCAATAAAGTCGATTTAGTTATTCAAGACTACAAATAAACATTCACAATAACTATTTTTTACAATTATTCATTCAAATGGCAGTAAATATATGTTTAGTAATATAATAATTTGTGTTAAATTCATTTGGGTAAATATATTACAATAATTTCAATATATTCCATACACAAGAATTAAATACATGCAAGTATGAAAGTTAAAAAGTTTTTGCAGAAAATTACAACAAAAAGGCCGGTGTATTTTCAAAAAATTAGACGACTGAATGAAAAAAAAAAAAGTGTATAGAGTGTTTACCTCTTTGGGAGGTTGGACCCATGCCACTATTTATATTTCTCATTGTAACAGTTTGCTTTTTTAAAGCTCTCTAAATCCTTGATGTTATGGCCGTTCTTCAAAGAATGTTGAGTAACACTGGCCTTTCAAAAAGCTATATAAAAACTAAATTTATGAGCTTTTTTAGTTTGACTTTTTAAGTAGTTTGGAATTTGGATCGACTTATACTTGAAGTTTCGAAAGCTATTTACCTTTATTACAAATCACAAGTCAATTATTTAAGAAGACTCTTCCTAAATCTACATTTCCTAATCAACATATTGACTAGCAGTGATACAAGTTGCATTCAGTTGTTTCAGTTTCAATGCAATATGCAATTTTGAATGTGCACTGATCATATTTATGTACAGCTGCCGGACTAAGTCATGGTCGGTGACTGTTTTTTATATATCTACAAGAACCAAAACGGCATTTCAATAACCATTCATTGTTTACCCCTTAATCCGTACTACGTAAAATTGCAAACAAAGACTTCCATTCCTTTTCTCCTAAAACTTTGTCATACACCAACCCGAACTTTACGCAGATACGATTCCTCCCACCGACCATGACTCAGTCTGGTAGCTGTACTATTGTATACGGATTTAGAACTTCTAATGAGTTTGTGTAGTTATAAATTATGTTACTGTAAATTCTTTTACTATTTTAGGTTATACGTTATTGAATTTTTATATTAAGGAAATAAAAATATAATCATAATCAGTTTTTTTCTATTCCTGGCCAATTTATTCCATAGCCATTTTGCAAGAATTGAAAGAAATCTAAATTTTCTGAAATATCATTCAAGATATAATTGATGTGTTGATATGTCTGTTGATTCTACACCAAATTATATACATAATAATTATTTTTTGTAATTGAATTTCCTTCAATAACCTTCCAGTAGTCAGTCAGACCGGGTTGGCACTGTATGATTTTATGGAAACCTAAAGTAAGCTCTCGCGATTAGTACCTTCCTGAGAATTCCTCACAATATTTCAGAGTTAGTTTCACCAGTGGTGTGCTTATATTCTAGTTATTACAACCAAAACAGGGTCTGTGAGACTGGGGGTGATTATTGGTGCATATATTTTTCCCTCAACAGATAATTTAAGTGAAGAGGTATTTTTTGTTTTAAACAAGACATTCTGGAGAATTTTATCATAAAAAATTGAACCTAGAAAGTATCTAAGATAAATATTACAATAATTTATCTGAATACAAATATGCATATTGACATTAGATGAAAAATAGGCGAATGAAAATATGCAAAACGAAGCTATTCAAAAATTCAGTTCTGAAAATGTTCTTTCTGTAAGTTTTTTTCATTACATTCTCAATATTTCAATTCTTTGTAATTGAAGGTTTACATTCCAAAATTATAAAACTAATATTATGCTAGCAAGTGATTAATCACATAAAACTGTTGCTTTTGAAATTAGACTGATAAATTGTTTAATCCCGGTCTTACAGATCAGCACGACTACCAGTGTCATGAAATTTTGTGCGACTATTGGAAGATCAAGTTCACTAGCAGACGTTCATCTTTAGAGTGGCCACTTCACCTTGAAATTGAACGTTTAATGTTTCAAATTTTTGAAAGATTATGTATCATGATTATCAAACCGTGCAGATGTATGTTGATTATTTGAATTAAAATTATCATGAGGTAACTGTTGATAAGAATCAATCTTCTGACAAGGAACCTATCTCTGCTGTTCTATTTATTGAAAGGAAAACAATTAAACCTCAAATTCGCATTAAACAAAGAAAAATATTATCAGAGAAATGAACAAATTGTAGATTCAGGAAATCAAAGATTGTAGATATTTCATATGGATTATGATACACGTGTGATCATGTTCAGACATTTGAAAAACTGAACACATAGCTTTCAAAACTTTTAGCCAGTATTAAGGAACTTGAAATATAGAAAAACGAAATTAATCAGTGTAGAATTTATAAACTTAGTTGTGGATATTGTGATGAAAAGTATGTTGGTCAAACAAAAAGAGCTCTTGAATTTCGTTTCATAAAAGACATGATACATTCGATTTAGCAAATCAGAAGAGTTTATTTTGACCAAAATGCTTTCAAGAAGAGAAATGAGATCGAGAAAAATGTTGATACCTATTATAAAAGTTGCTAGATTGGTAGAAGCTTTGACGCGCTTGCAAGTGGTACATTGAATCATGAAAAGTATGAACAGTGACAAAGGATGTATTTCAAAAAGTTATGTTCTTTTTATAAATTGGATAAACAAAAATTAAATAAAAAATGGGTGGAAAATTAAGGGGTCAAGATTATTTATCTCATCAGTTTAAATTAGGCAGAAAAACATTATTGTACTGTTTGTCAATATATCAACCTGTTAGATTAAGTTTTTTTAAGTAATTGATTATTTCTAGGATATATCTAAGAATAGTGTTTTCCCAGTTGTAGCGAGATGCTCCGGAACTATCGAGTTGTATGATTTAAAAGGAACACCAAGTCTACTTTTACACATAGAGGAATATAGCATGTAACATACACTGATTTGACTCGATGTCTCATACTTCCAAGGAATAAATATGTTACATAAAAACTGAAGTAGCTCGGTAGTTATCATGGCTACTACAAAAGAGATCCTGATTTTTTTTTGTAGATGTCACCCTTTTCAAAAATAATCGGAATTTAATATATAATATTGATATACAACATAAAAAGACATGCGATTATATATGAATATATTAACATAAATACAGGCCGTTTTTAGCCGATCTCATTATTGCCATCTCAAAAACGGTTTGTTATAATCTGCTATGAACCATTTTGCCATGCGAAGTATCGTTCATTATATCACATCATCAACGCTACACTACATATCACTATCCAAACTATATTTTGTAAACGTATTAAAAACGTATCAATACTGTACGGCACAAATGTTTTACGTCTTTTTTTATTTTTGAAATATTGGCTATAATGGTTTGGTGATAGGAAAAAGTTATAAGTGCGCACCTCTTTGTCAAAACAAAATTTTAATATATAATATATAGTAAATACTAGAATACATTGGGCTGCACTACTAGAGTAATCATATCAAATCTTCAGTTGGAGACTTCCGAAAGGAGTAAAGAATAAACATAAAACATTTGTGAAGAAACTTTTTTGTTCATCATAAAATCCCTTAAGTATCTTCTACTTATTTTGATCTTGAAAATACTGTTTTCAAAAAGTTTGGCTCTCAATTCATGATATAATTTAATTTCATTCATTATTGGGCAACATCCAACTGGGTTCAACATAATAAATTATATGAATACAGACATAATTACATCTTACTTACTTGATCAAAGTAAAACTAACTCTCAGATAAAAAATAACAGTAACGAAATAAATTTATTGATATCCGAGAATTGAAATGAATATTGAATGAATGATGAGGATATGACTCTTCAAGAACTGAGGAAGTTAATGTTCATTTTCATTTATAATTAATTTCTGAGAGAGCGTAATGCAAATTTGAATTTGGTTTTGTTTAGTGAGTTACATCTATAGCAAATGTTTCTGTATGCATTTTACTTCTAGACGGCTTTTGTATCAGTTTTTTCTTGGTTTGGTCCAAAGGTACGACGATCACAAAAAAGCATACATAAACCCAATAACATATAAATCAAATCTCGCAACACACGCCATACAAAACTCTGTCCTCCACCAGAAAACATCAAACTCGTAAAACAAGTCAATACATAACCATATGGACATCTGGGAAAACCTAAATATCCATAAATTTAAAAGTCATGATTCACTTATCAAGGAACAAATACAAATAAAAAAACAAGACCTAACACTAAATAAACTACACAATACAATACAGATTTCTAGAAACAATGAAACTGGAGAAACTCCATCACAAAGGATATTACCTGATGTAACCCAAATACAAGCAAATTTAAAGAGACATCTAGATGACAGTAGAGGACAAATACCTGAACTAAGGCGTTCTAACCGAATAAAAGAACAAACAAGAAGATAAAACGTTCAATTTGAGTAGAGCCGTGAAAATGATAGCACAACCTGCTATCGAAAGCGCTCGCATATAATAAGTAGAAGTGAATAAAGCTTCAAAACCTTTTTGTAAACAAATGTTAATATAAAATAACGGAAAAAAAATATATCTCTTAAAGTAAATTCCGATTACATATTTAGAAAACGGTGACTTCTGTGAAAAAGAGCATTTTTTTTATTTAATGATGAACTATAAAAGCAATGACTCATTTTATATTAGCTGTGAGGGCTACTGGGATATTTCAATTTTCACTAAATTTTGATATGAATGCCGAATGCGAGGTATAATGAATTCAAAGAAAAAATCAAGAGGCGTTTTTTGTGGAGAATTTCATTATCAATTAAACAACTAATAGCTCAATTCACTGTAGATTCGATAGTTCCGGATACACAGAAAAAAAAATCGAAATTTTCACATTGAATTAAAAAAATTCCACTTGCCTGGGGCTTATCAACGATTGTTACAAATGAGGATCTGACAACATTTAGATCGCTACAATTCAAGCAGAAGATGGGTCTCGTCTGCGTCTAATACTCCTGAATTACATGCCTTTTGGAAAACACACTATTTCTTTGCGTGATCAAGTTAGCTATTTTTTTTACTCATCGAGTTGAACAACAATAGACTGATAAATTGTTTAATCCCGGTCTTACAGATTAGCACGACTACCAGTGTCATGAAATTTTGTGCGACTATTGGAAGATCAAGTTCACTAGCAGACGTTCATCTTTAGAGTGGCCACTTTACCTTGAAATTGAACGTTTAATGTTTCAAATTTTTGAAAGATTATGTATCTTGATTATCAAACCGTGCAGATGTATGTTGATTATTACTGTTTTTTTATGTTTCTCTTCCTTGAGGGTACAGTTAATAACAGAGGGCTATTCAGTAGAACCATTCAGTATCTGTCGAGCTTTCGTCAATATTTATTGTCTTCTTCAGTGCATATTCAAAGAACACACTTCAATGTGAGATTTCCATTTTTGAGCGTTACAATGCTGTTCATACAAATTCTGTGTCGTGCATTTATGATAATTTGAATCATTATGAATGTCACTACTTGCCAAATGTCTACCTGAACAGAAACAAGCTCTGAACTAGGTCCAACCAGATTCAAAGAATGATACTAAACATTATGTAACTCTAAATTACTTCGATGATCCTACTATTAATACCACTAGTTTTTTTTAAGACAAAAATTTGGATGCAGATTAATAATTTGAGTAATTTCATCAAAAACAATAAAAATGATACTTCAGTGTCAGATAGACCAACAGTATACAAGTTGACTTGTGGTTCTTGTCCAAAATTTTATATCGGATAAACTGGAAGGACTTTTTCCAAAAGAATGAAAGAACATAGAAGTAGTTTTTTGAATTAAACATTTGCAAATCTTTTTTTGACAGAGAAACACGAGTTCAATCACGATTATGAAGTATTGCAATTGGAAGAGGAAAGTTCAAAGTCCAACCTTTTAGAATGTTTAGAAATCAATACATGTTAAAATTCGAGATTGTTGTTCAATGATAAAATATATTTGAATAGTTTCTTCTTTTGAATTCAATTTGCAAGGAGAAAATTAGGACAGCAATAAGTAATTAGGTAAAATGATCGTTAAGGTAAAAATTGTTATTCATTATTCTCCAGTCTTATGAGTTGTTCCTAGATAGGTAAATAGTTTATTTAATGATTTTATCATGTAGGAGTTTGGCAGGTAATGATAATCATAATGATTCAAATTACTATAAAAGAACAAAACAAAATTTGTATTAACAGTATTGTGTCTGTTCTGTTTAAAATCTATTTTTCCGTTAACTAGCTGTCGCACCCTACGAACGACAACCCTCAGAAGTCGAAACTTGTGCGAGATAGGGATTAACGAGGTATTACCTTTTAACGTGTGATTCCTAACATGGGTTGGACGATAGCAAAGTTTCTATCGTATAACAAAAAACACGTGTCTCACATTGACGTGTGTTTTTTGAATATGTTGTGATGGATTTCCATCAAGTATTGGTCAGTTCTCTCATATGTCCTCTTCAGGACAACTCTGTGGGTGATTTAATTTAATTCTAACATTAGAGACCATTTATGTTCACTTGTTTTCATATAAATTCAATTTTTTTCATTCATTTTCACGATAGTAAGTACGAAATGGTCTCCAACGTTAGAATAATATTGAATCACCCTTGTACATTGCCGAAAGCTCGATAGATACCGAATAGCCTTCTGTTATTAACTGTAACCAGATTATTATGTACAAAAATTCATTTTGCCTGCACCCAGAACAGAGTATTACAGAATAATTGATTTATTTTTTCGCTCACTGCCATCTGTTCCCCTTCTTGGGACGTTTATCTCAAATGGACAGTTATTCTGCTGAATATCAATGTCTGGGCGCTACCCGAAAAGCAGAGTTTACGATAGAAAGTCTAAAGGCCAAGCGAAAATTAATTCAAAAAACTTACTTCACCGAAGTGAGTAATTTTTTGCCTAATTCCGTTTGCCCAATTTTCTGCAATTTGGCGTAGGTCCTCAAGTTGGTTTTCGAATTGATGGTTTCTTCTTTTCGTATTTTCAAAGGTCGGGGGTCGTCGAAAACTTTCCTCTTGTTGTTTTTACTCAGTATCATCGATTTTATTTGATCAGGAATGTCATCAATTTCATACATCGCATCGTGGGGACTTGTTCCGAAAAAGTTTTTCAATTTTGTGTCGGCATGATGTCGCAGCAAAAGCTGAACCATTTCCGCTAGAAAAAAAATTGAATCTTGAGTATTATCAACAAATAATACAAAACAATTGTTTGTTTAGAAACGTGTTCATTCTCAAACTGAAATGGGAATATCTTTGAGAGAGTTCAGTTTTTCGATAGAAGCGTTTTGGCCTTCTACATCTCCAACTTTATACTAAATATGTGGGGAAACTTCTGAAAAAGAAAGCAATTAGGTTCAAGAGAAACTTCACAAAGTTCTGAAGATCATGAACCAATTTTTATTTCAGATACAAACTGCAAGGTTTATACATCCTGGATTACTATTTGATAACTCCAGGTAATCCAGGATGTATAAACCCCTGAAGAAGCTAGCCACTGGCACCAGCGAAACGTCAGGAAGAAATTCCAAAAATCCACGGCCTGCGAACCCGAAAAATAGTGACACTGGAAGCCTCGGCCGCGAAAGCCTAGACTATTTTGTCAAAAAGGCTTGTGTTGTGAATTGGTGCAATTGAGTGCTCTTCAAATTCAATTTTTAAGAACTGCAAAATCCATATACAACATATTTACAGGTGAAAAAACAACAATCCACTGTTTGGGTGTTTCATGATGAACATAATCCCACAAAAGCTTCCGTTCATGAAGCATTTCACAGAAAACAATCGCGTTTTTTCGGCTTCAACGTATATATTACTACCATATCTTCAGCGATTCAAAGAACGCTCAACATTGAATGGTGTACAACAATTTGTGTGACAAAAATCTTGGACAAAATTGAAATACAACCTAAATTTTCACTACATTCTTAATTACAAAAACACAGCTTCCATAGAGCACATCAAACAATTATTATTTGCTCCTGATTTCTCTATGTAAAAAATGCATATACAGCTAATTTCATTACCTCAAGAAGCTGTTTAAAATCGTTTTGTTTTTGAGATTTCAACTTCTGAGATTTGGTTTTAACACAAACGCAAAGAGATTATTTTCAAAAATAACAGCTTGTGCAACAAATTATTATTGTACTTTTGTGAAAATCCAAAAGGTAACCCTCGTAGCACACCCTTTTTAATTAATTAACAAGCTTTTATTAGCTTCACCTTTATGTATTTATGTTTGCTTGCAACTCTCGAGCTAGAGATCTGTATTTGACAGAATTATCGACATTGCTTGATCTATTCGCGGGCAGATGGCGTTGTACGCAACCTCCTTGATATAATTCGAACTCACTTTACATGTATTTCTTCATTTGAAAAAAGTATTTTTTTTTTATAAACAAGCGCGCCAGCTGCCTTATTTGTAACCCCCCTTTGCGCGCCTGCTGCCTTGGGCTTGGTAGCTGATTTTCAGGCTCCCTCTCCGGAATCGGAAAATATCAATGGCCATTTTTCTAAACAATATACGGCTGATTGATCCCAAAGTTTATATAAAATAAATATAGTTTAAAAAGACTAAAAAACACGCTTTAATAGCATACGAACCTAAAAAATGAAAAATATAGTTTAAAAAACTAAAAAAACACGCTTTTAAAAAACATCGAACTAAAAAGTTAAACATTTTTTTTAAAATTAGCCTAAAACAATAACGAATGAAAAATAAACTATATTTATTTATCTTGAGTAAAGAGGTGAAAAATAAAATTTTATAGTGAACACAAATCAATGCCATCTTCAGATGTGAATTTAATGCATTCTGTAAAAACCAAAACGTAAGTGATTCCCAGAGTTTGGTCATGCACTGCATGTGTCAAGGTCATACACTTGATATGTGATAGTGGGAAAAAGTTTTATGTGGAATTATGATGCCATTGTTGAACTTTGAACTCAGATATATTTCATCAATAAAATAATAGTTTAGTTCGTTACATTTGTTAATGGAATTTGTTAGAAATAATAACAAAAAAAAAAGAGGTAAAGTATGACAGTGTTACTAATTTCTGAAAGATGCAAAAATACTTTTACTATATTGTCATAAGAAAAAATAAAAATTAATAATAAGGTGTTCACCTGAACACATGATTAGTATAGTCAAGTATTTATATTATTACATTCAACAATCTTTCAATAATAGTAGAAATATAACTCACAATGAATGTTCAAAAAACTGTTGGAAAAAAATAATATTGTGCTTTCAGTAATAGGCAAAATATCCAAAGATTTATGGAGAAAACTGAAGTTTAACTTGTCATATAAAATTTCAACATTACATGAAAAAATCACTACTCGGGAAAGGAGACAATTTCTCAATGACCATGAAAGTAACTGAACATTTTCCGTCATAAAAAATACTTTGAATCTACGTGGTAAGTTATCAGGTTGAACTAAAGAATTTGCCAGTTCTACATCTGTATAAAGTTCTCCGATACAATTTTTACATTTTTCTGATTGTGGAAGGCGAAAAACCCTTCAATAAAATCGATAAAAAATTCTGTCTTCCCTCACAAAAAATGACTTTCAACAAATAACTTAATACTTACAATCGTGGCATTCAGCTGCATGAAACAGGGCTGTCCGGCCAGATATTTGATCCCTAACATTTATATCGGCTTTGTATTCCAAAAGCAATTTTGCACATTGATCTTGGCCATTCAAACAGCAAATCATCAGTGAAGTTAATCCTGAGAAAAAAAGAATAGTTGAATATTTAGTAGTTTTCTTCAAACAAAAAATACACAAATTTTTCCAAAATCTGAAGATTCAACATCATTTGAAGTTACTTTGAAATGATTTCAGTAAAAATTGAAAATGATTAACAGCGACAAGTTTTGATTTTGAGCACTGATGAATGAAAGAAAAATTGTCAAAAAATTTTGTTAATGTAAATCGACAAGTAGATTTAATTGAAATTGATTCAGAACCCCATTAGTGTGTTTAATTGAAGAAATGTTTATGGGAATAAATGAGTTCAAACAGATCTCCAGAAGGCATGAATTTAAAATCGTTTTTTAGTATGGCTCACCTTCATGATTGTGCTGATCCAAATTGAATTTAACCTTATATGCATGATCCAATAAAGTTTTCAGTGCGTCTGTTCTTTGATACTCTATGGCCAGATGCAGAACATTATTACCTTCACTATCGGTAACACTCAAACTTGCTTGTTTTGACAATAAAAATGCAATTATATCTTCGGATGAATCGTTCATGATGGCAAGTTGTAAGGCGGTCTGAAAAACAAACATCATTTATATAGAACGTGATGGAAACCTTTTTAAGGATACCTGAGAAAACTGATTCCTTTGAACACAAACAAGGAAGGTACGAGGGTTGCCTTTTATGTTTCAGGATTTGGCAACCCTAGTGTTGCAATCTGGCAACTGACAGCTCTATCATAAAGGTAGACATTTTTGAGCTTATACGTACTCAGAATGTTTCGATGTACGCGCGATATTTGTGTTGTTTACAGTAACTTAAAAGATTCATCTCGGCCTATAAATGGAATTAAAACGTGAACATTTTCGTGCGATTATTTTTTACAACTTTCGACGTGGATTAATTCAACAACAGTGCATAGATGAACTTAATTCCATTTTTGGCGATGAAGCTCCATCAAGGACCAGTGTTCATCGATGGTATGGTGAATTCAATCGTGGTCGTTCACTATCGCCCAAAATCAGTTGTTGTTCCGAAAACCATTGATGCCGTGGGCGAACTGATATTGCAAGATCGTCATGTGATCTATTGTGAGATTAAGACAACCTTAGGCATTAGTGGGACCAGCATACATTCAATATTGCATAAACATTTGATTGCCAAAAAAATTTGATTGGGTTGGATCCCACACAATTTGTCAATTGCTCAAAAAAAGGTTCGTGTCGATTGGTCAAAGGAAATGCTCAAAAAATACAATCGCGGTGCTTCGAAACACGTCTATGACATCGTGACAGGTGATGAATCGTGGATTTACGCGTATGAGCCCGAAAGTCGACTGTATGGGTGTTTCAAGATGAGCCAAATCCAACAAAAGTTGTTCGCACACGAAGGACTTACAAGCAAATGGTCGCCTGTTTTTTCGGAAAAACTGGACATGTCGCAACCGTACCACTAGAACAACGCAGAACAGTCAATTCTGANATATAAAAAAAAAATATATAATTAAAAATATTGAACTTAATAAATCAGTAAACGATACTCACATAATCATTACTATTAGGGAGGTCCACAGATTGGTTCAAGATTTTCAAAATAAACCAACTTCTCTTCACCACAGTTAGATCGTTCCTCAACACACCCAAATGAATGGGCCTGAAATCATCGATATAGATTACTGTTACATTAGAAAATCACATAAGATCACTTATGTGCGAAATCATCATTGAATCAATTTGTTCCAAGTTGAGCCTTCATGAATACACATAGTGCAATGTTCTCTAGAAGTTTTTATCGGTTGATGATTCATTATTGTGAGGTTTCCACTAGACAGTTTACAAAACTGCAACACATGTTTCGCTCACAATAAAGTATTACTTCAATAAGTTATGGATTTTCATCAAGAATTGGAATTGGTCAATACATTAGGTAATATACGATAGGTCTGTAAAAAAATGTGAATGTTCAAATTTCACGGGCTACGTACATCCGATTAGCGAAATTTTATTTTTTTATGTTGGTACACTCGTCTCGAACTTATGTTACAGTTTCAGCTGTTCAGCATGTTCAGTTTGTTGGTGAGAGGAATGAATATTAGAAGTGTTTTGCATGTTCGGCGATTTTCTGCTATTGAAAAAAATCGATCAAAGAATTTGCATCAAATTTTGTGTAAAAAATGGAGTTGAGTGCATACAGTGGCATACAGTGATTGTACTCAGAGCCCGAAAAATGTTTACAAGTAGTACAATTTTTTAACAAAAGATTGAGATGTGAATGACGACGCTCGCCCTGGACTCCCCATTACATTAACATCCGATGAAAATGTTGAAAAAGTGAATTGCCGTCGAGACGTGAAAGAGTGGTGTAAGCGCTGTGACCTGAGCTCTTCGAGAAAGGGTCCGAAGATAAGGCAGTGGACATTCTGGGACCACTCCCTATTACCACATCTGGTAACAAATACCTTACGGTTGTGATGGACTACTTTTCCAAATCGCTTGAAGTAGTAGCTTTACCCAACAAAGAGGCTAAAACGGTGGCAGAAGCCCTGTTTCAGAGCGTAACTGCTAGACACGGAGTACCCCAAGAACTACACTTGGATCAGGGCCGCAACTTTATCGTTATCGCATTATCAATAACTACCTCTCGATGTTTGTCTCCGAAAATCAAAAAGATTGGGATAAATTGGTTCCTCTTTTTCTGTTGGCATACAGGAGCTCCCAACATGCGACAGGTTATACACCATCCATGTTGTTGACTGGTAGGGAACTGAAGCTTCCGATAGATGTATTGTATGGCAGTCCTTTCGATGAATCTCAAGAGGTACCTGTATGTGAATGACCTGAAGGAGAGACTGGAAATTGTACACGAATTTGCCAGGCCTAAATTACAGCGCTCCAGCGACAGGATGAAGATAAGATTTAACAAAAAGGGGCTCCCAATAAGCTTCAAGGAGGGTGAAGCGGTGTGGCTCTACCAACCCCAACGTCGGAAAGGTTTGTGTCCCAAGTTGCAGAGATCATGGTACGGACCTTACTTGGTAACCAAAAAGATAAACGATCTGGTGAACAGAATTCAATTGTCACCAAGAAACAAGCCTAAAGTTGTCCACATAGAGAGGCCGAGTCTTTACATGGAGTGAAATACCTTATCATTAGTAATTTGTTTCAGCTGATTTGGTAACTTATTAAAACAACTGATTACATTATACGGTGGGGAGTTCTCATATAATGAGGTTCTGTGTTGTGGAATTCTCCAAAAAGCTCCATGACGTGTATTATGTTCGTGTTCAGATCCATTTGTCGCAAAAACCGATAAGTTATGTCTTGCGAACACAGCACATTTAAAATTATAAATGGATATGAGGGTTAAAATCTTTTTTTCCATAAAAATAGGCCGTCAACTATCTCTGAAATTCAAATTAAATATGAGTCTCAGGATGCTTTTCTGAGCCACGAAAACTCTATTTAAGTCTCTTGCTCTTCCCCAAGCCAAGATATTTAAACTAAGCCGAGAGTGAACCATTGCGTAGTAAATATTTAGGAGGCCTGCTTCATCTAAACTGGGCTTCATAAGAACAATATCATTCATCAATATCAACTGATCCAACCTAAACTAATTGAGGTACGTATACATGAACACACATTGAAATTGAAGACATTTATTGAAAATTTTTTCTAGTGAGTAAGTTACAATATTAACGAGCTGATCAAAAACACTGTTTTTCATCAAAAAATGTTATCGCTTACAAGTTTATTGCAACAATTAAGATAAAATAAATTAAAATCATGTGGTTACCGAAATTCGATAAAATACACTCAAAACTTATTGCAATATACTCAAAACTTATTTCATGTTGGGGTATTGACAATAAGAATAAAGTAAGCAAAGACCATAGCAATGTTCTTTTTAGATGGTATCATTTAAAAAACTGTAAATAATTTCCGTGGCAATGTTAGTTTAAAACGCCTTGTCAACTTGTTTTGTATGTTACAACATTAGTTGTCAGTATTTTAATTTAAGTTTAAAGTTCGTTAACTTCAAGTCTGACAAATGGTTAGGTTAACGGAAATGCATTAAGGAACTGTTTTACAAATGGTTGGTTATGGAGATGAAACCCGAACACAACAGGAAATAGCTCGCCTATTTCATGGTAAATTTCCTAATTTACCGCCCATATCTCGAGGGACAATAAGCAAAATAGAGAAGCAGTTTCGCGAGTTTGGTCATGTGGGGCAGATAAAAAAAAGCAGCCAATGAAATGAGTGACGAACTCAAATTAGATGTGATGCTTGAGTTTGAGGAAAACCCACATACATCGAGTAGACAGGCATCCACTACATTCAATGTTAGACATACATCGATAGTAAACATTTTAAAAGAAAATAAAATGCATCCCTATAAAATGATACCTAATCAGTAGCTCATGGAAGACGATTTTGATAGAAGAACTCATTTTTGTGAGGAAATGATGGACATATTGGATAACAATATCATCCAACTAGAAGACGTTATATTTTCTGATGAGTGTACTTTGTCTCTTAAAGGTCATGCTAATCGGCAAAATTGTCGCTACTGGTCAACAGAAAATCCTCACTGGATGAGAGAAGAACACATGCAATACCCTCAAAAGGTTAATGTTAGGGCAGGGATTGTAGGAAACCATATCATTGGTCCCTTTTTCATTGAGGGCAACTTGAATGGCGAAAATTATTTGGCATTACTTCAAAATGATGTCATTCCAAGTTTACCAAATTTATATCCTGATCCAGGAAACCCTCAAGTTCCAGTGAATACGATATGGTTTCAGCAGCACCACCACATTACCAAGTTAATGTCCGGCAATACCTCGACACAATATTTCCCAATCGGTTTATATGGAGGGAGAATCAATTGAATGGCCAGCGCGATCACCTGATCTTACATCATAAGATTTATTTTTATGGGGATATGTAAAGAGCAATGTGTACAAAACTAAACCTTCAGATTTGAATTACTTAAAAGAACGAATAACGCTGGCGAATACGTCGGTCACGCCTGATATATTAAATAATGTTAGAAGACGGTTTCATATGACATTAGGATATTGCCAAGACGTTCGCGGTGAACATTTTGAACATAAAATATTTTTTGGGAAAAATGAAAATTAACAAATTTTTTTCAACAGACCTCGTAATTAAATGCAAACAAATAACCATCTAGATTATTTGACTGGATAAGAGTTTTAAAAAGATGAAGTGAATTGAGAAATTATTTACCAGCTAACATGGTTTCACACATTCACAGTATTATAACTTCTGGTTCTTCTCATGACATATATTAGGTAATAAAGATCAATATGTAAAACAAACATACACATTGTAGGATAATTTAAGATTTTCTGACCAAAGACTGGTAAAGTCTCAAGGGACCCTCTTTTCGATTTACCAATATAATTCATTTCAAATGCTGAAAATACAAGCCTATACTTCCTATTTAAAAAATTGGGGTTGTACCCGTCATTCGGAGGGGGTTGAAGGTAGGGGTGGCATTTTTACGTTGAAGAATGTCGAATTATAATTTACATTTGACGTGTTTCGGGATTTTTTTTAAATATGTATAGTAACCGAAATAATGAATTTATTCTATTTGGCTTTTACAGACTTTATATGTAAATCCCATATACTATGAGCATTTTGTTTTTTTTGAAAATGCCTCTACGTGAGTCTCTATATTGCACATGGATTTCAAAATTCGTTTTTGCATTATATAAATGCATTGTAAATGTGAACTACCACCCCATACTAGTGTACTATATTTAAGGAATGGATAAACAGTTCTATAGTAGTCAGTTTTGAGAGCATCGATATTTAAGTTGTTCTAAATGTATGATGTATGAGTTAGTTTGCCTTCAATAAATATGCCTAGTAATTCTGTACTTGATGAAAAACGTAGAGTGTGTTTTGAACATACACCCCACATCATGGAGGTTCAGATGATTATCTTGAATTTGAATGACCAATATACAAAATATTACATTTAGTAAGGAATCGAAAAAAAACATTTATTATTTATTAGATTATTTTATTTAAATCTTCGAAAGATGATTTATGTACTGATAAAGGTAATAGGTCAAAATTTTTACAGAGGAAAAGAAGCCTTACATTCGTTTAAATAAAAGTAATTTTATGCATAAACATCAAAACAATCATTAAATTTATCATAATGTATTCGAGTCTTCATGTTATTACAAAATCATTCTGAACACTTAAACTTTCCATTTGTAGACTCCTCCAAGAGTAAACTAATATGAGTTTTTTAACTCTCACTCACGTCACTTTTCTATCTGAATTGGCATTAACATCAACAATATTTATTCTTGTTTCAATTACTTTGATCAATTTCTTTTTTACATACCATAAAATTAAATAACAGCATATTTCACTTGCAATTTCATGTTACAAACAAATTTGTAATGGATACAAAATCTGTATTAACCACATACTGAAATGCTTTCTTGCATATGTTTAGCTCCTTTGTTTGAAAGTTGCCTTCTTCTACATATTTATAGTGTACACATTCTTTGTGTATTTAATCAACATAGAAGCACGATGTTATTTATGCCCATCCCTGTTTAATATATGGGAATCCCTGTTTAATATAATGGGAATCCCTGTTTAATATATGGGAATCCCCGTTCATTATATGGGAATCCCCGTTCATTATATGAAAATCCCAGTTTATTATTTGGGAATCCTATGACAATTGGGTACGTTTCCATAAAATGATGATGAAAAATCTTTCGAGGGTTCATAACTCTGGGGGGTGTGGAAAATGATATTCATGTGTACATGTGTACAAATATTTGTTACACTGAAAGTAGATGAGACAAATTAATGCATACCTATATGATATAATACAATTAGAAGGTGTGTATTTCGTCTAATGCGATTAGACACAATTATACTGAATAAAAAGTAAGTTCAAAACATTTAAACTCGACTACTGAAAAATCACTTTGAAATGTTTGGAACAAGAAAATAGTCTATCTGAAATTGATATGTACAAACTATTCAATATTTATCATCTACTGAATAAAAAACTTACAGGTAATATATTTTAAAATATTTATTACACATTCAAGGGTTCTTTATATAATAGACTAGTTGTTGCCCGCGACTTCGCCCGCTTAGAATTTGGTAGTTATAGTACTAATTAGTACTATGTTGCCGTATCGCTGCTGTTTTGACAGAATCAGAATCAACGAACTTAGGAGTTATATAACAGTGCTTTCAAAAAATTGTTCTACAGCGCCATCTAGTGGCGAGTTACAGAAAATTTGATAGCCTAAAAACCTTCTCTATGAAAAATTACTTATACATGTCAAGTTTCATCACGATCGGTTGAGCGATGTAGAAGTTTATCACTTACCAACCAACCAACAAACATCCATTTTTATATATTAGATGATAAATATTGAATCGTTTCTACATAACAATTTGAGAGGAGAATATTTTTTTGTTTCATACTTTATGGATCACGATTTTTTAGGTTGTTAAGTTTTAGTTTTTCAATTTACTTTTTATTAAAATTATTGTGAAGTCATAATCTCATGACTAAGTATTTGCAGAAGCTTGTTTTTTTTGTTCATTTGGATTTATTTTTTTAAAGTGAAATACCAAACTTACGCACGTTTATGTTTGCCAATTCCTCAAGCGATCATGATTCTTGAAGCCTACCTAATAATTCATTCTTGTAAAACAAATTATTATTCAATTATTTTATATGTATTTTTGCAGGTTTGGAGTGAAAATATGTTTGCTTCAAATCTGAGGGGTGATTTTAGAAATTTTTCTTACTCATCGGGTGCATGTAAAAAATCTATGAGCAACAACAATATATAAATATGTGCTCATATGTCCTCTACACAGCGCCATATTCAATTTAATATGAAGTCACATATAATTACAAACGGACAATTAAGACGCTTCCAATGATACATCATTTCTCAAATTATGTTAAAGAAAGAGATGAAGATACATAAATACTGATCATAATCATAACCCCAATTTCTGCTTTGCCGTAGTAATCTAAAAATTGTGAGTTCAATGAATTAATTAATTGTCATCAATAAACAACACATCTTAAATGTCATTTAAGGATTTACAAAAATGTTAATTCAATGTAACATCAAAAATGCATCACATAATGTCATTTTAACATGAGAGTGATTTACAAGATACAAAAAAATACCCTGTATAATTCACTGCAATGAAAATTTAGAGTGAATCAAGATTTTCTCAGGATTTTGTAAATGAACAAGTACCTACATACAGAATTGTAATCAGTGGGTTTTTAAACACATTCTCCGTAATACTGGGAATCCCAGATATCACATATAGAGAGAGATCATGGTTTTCAAAGAATCAATCAATAACATCATTCATTTATTACTCAAATAAACATATGAAATTAGTTTCTACTTGAATTAATTGCACAAGATGGTGAGAAATGTTAATTTCTCTCAATTTGTATTATTGTAGCTTTAGAAACTTTAAAAAATTGTTTCTTATAAGATTAGATACAATTTCTTTCTCTGAAAATAAATTTTACTGTGAAAAATTAGATTTGTGATATGCAGATATTAATTTTATTGATGTATGCAGATATTTTTCTAGCAAGAATTCATCTAATTGAAGGTGAATCAATTCTTATATGTTACATGTCCTATGGGTGTCCATGGGTGACCATTAGTAACTGACGTTAACACAAAAAAAAGAATTAAAATTAAATAAGATTTTTTTTCAATATGGTAATTTTCTTGACTTGAAATAAATATAAATAAATACTGACAGAATATAAACAATATAATGACGGGTTTACTTACATGTTTCCTCTATCATCTGGCTGTAGAGCTGTCCTCAATTCATTAAAAAAGTTCTTTGCTCTCAAATTGTTAACATTATTTGAATCGTGAGATTGGCCATTTGATTCATGTAAATTTTTTGATGATATAAGTGTGTTATCTAAATTATCATGAGCTTTTGGAATTGGTTCCAAATATGGTAGATCCTTCATTATTTCAAGTATATCAAAATCAGTGAATAGTATCTCATCATCTGTTTGAACACAAGCATCCACAATATTCTTATCAGTCTGTGTAGAACTCTCGATTTTTCGACCTTGGTTCAATGAATACTTTGTCAAGTCTAAAGCTATTACATTTTGGCCACTTCCACTTGATTTATTCTTTGAATCAATTTTGAAAGTATTTATAACTGGTTTTCTGACACTTTTTAACATATCTGAATTTTGATCAGCTGTGTTTGCTTTGATCGTCACATTACCACTAAGGGTTTTCACATTTGTGGACGCACTTTCCCTTATCAATGTTTTCTGTGATAAGAGGTTTATTTTAGATATCTCTATCATTTGTTTACCTTCATTACTAGAGGTGTTACCATTGCTTACGTACTGTGCAGTGGAGTTTTTTAGTGGAACTGCCTTCAAAACTTTTACTTTAATAGGTGGCTTTTCTGTGATAGAATTAAGTGATGCTATCTTTCGAACTTGAGCGTTCTTAGGTAATTTGTTTGGAAGTTCTGACTCTGGTATTATTTTTATTTTCTTTCCATTCAAATTTATATATTTCTCTCCTGTATCTGAGTTTACTTCAATTTTCAGAGTCTTTTTAATACCGGAGGAATTCTTACTTTCATTCATATTTCCACAAAGTACAGGTAAACAATCTCGAAAGCCAAGAAGTTCACAATTTTTATCATCTATAAGTTCCGATTTTGACCAATACGTTGTTTCGGAATATTTACCTTTTATGACGTATTTATTAAATTCCATCGCATTCAATCAGTGTCTACAATGAAGGTTAGAATTAGGAAGCAAAATAAAATTAAACTTCCACAAGAGTACTCACTCGTATTTCTGCGTTCTTTCTTCACTATTAAATAAATGGATAACCAACATTATTATGATTAAATATATGACACGACTCTTCAACACAACGCATTTCCATCAAACTACTGAAAATCAAGAAATCGGGTAATCCCCTTGTCTTCTACGCTCATATTGTTGTAATAGGTATTTACAATTTCGTTTCATTTCTGATGGAAAATTAGGACATTTCACTTCTGTGATTTCATCATATTATGTTCCGTGTTTTATGAGGTTGATATATTATCGTGTTCGACAATAGATAACTGTTAATGAGAGTGCGTTCCGTACTTCAAGAAACTGAGACATATGCACGTTCCCCATTCAACAGAAAATTTTCGATGGATTGCTTCAACCAATAGAAACGCGTTAGCGTTTTGGATAAAACGGTGATTTAAATAAATTGTCTACTTCACATACCAAATCTAAGCCTTTTCTTAGATATTCATGTCAGATTCACATGAGATGTGCTGAATATGTATACACTATTTTCGTTGATTATCAACTTACAACTAACGATTAAAATCAATGTATTTTCTCATTTACATTCGATTCGATCGGATCGTAGCTACACAGTATTCAGAGTCGATTATTCCATGTCATTGGTCGGACGGTAGCCAGTCGGTTTGACGTGAGTGCTTTGTTCACTCACTCAAATCGACCGCCGTCTTGGTCGCTTCTGAGGGTTGTCGTTCGTAGAGGTGCGACAGCTGGTTAACGAAAAAACATATTTTAAAGATTTCAAATAGATTTTTCAAACAGTTGTTTTGCGAAAAGAAACGTGTTTGCTTGTTTGCTGATTGCCTCATGTTATGTATGTATTCAAGAAAGCAAATCAGTTTGATTTCTCCAACCAACATTATTGTGAAATAGACATTCAATATTCAGTTATGATGAACTGAATAGGAAATTTCTGAGCCGAAATAACTGCTTTTTCAACATTTAACCTTCGGCAAAAGTATTTACAGTTGTTGCTAATTGATTTATCGATTTTGTATATATTTTTTATTTCTCTGCTAGTTTCCTATCTTTGAATGTAAATTCTGTACAGACACAGTTTATGTTGGTTAGTTATCAAAATGGTTCACTGAATAATGCCTTTCGACTCACTAGTCATTATATAAGTCGACTTTTATGTTTTCGTAGAATATTGTTCAAATAATGTGCTTTGGCTAAGCTGATGAGTTATACGTTACACTTTATTTCAACAACAATTACATACCTTGAATGGGCTATTATGGGAATTTCATCCAATATCAAATACATATTTAGACATCGTCTTTATACGACATCTACCGGACACATTGAAACTAAGCCAGATGGTAAAACAAGCACAAAGGTTTGTCTTGTCAGCTGTTTTCATGTGGTCCCTTATGTTTTCCGTGAGTGGTTGTAATTTCTTTTACTTTTACCTATTCAGCAGTTTCTCATGCCTTTAAGGAACACAATAAAAACGTTACAAATTCGCAATTGAATAACTCAAAGCACAAAAACCCAACATAATAAACACTCACGTGCCTGCGTGTATGTATGTACTCGTATGTATATATGTTAAAATATGTATGTTTGCATGTATGCATATATGTATGTATGTATGAAAGTATCTCTCTGTTTAAAATCTGTCTTAAAATCTGTCTTTCCGTTAATCAGCTGCCGCCCCCATACGAACGACAACTCTCAGAAGTTTGAGAAACTTGTGCGAGCTAAGGGGACTAACGAGGTATTACCTTTTAACGTGTGATTCCTAACACGGTTGCAGAATCATTCCAGCTTCAACCAGATAAATTCTCTCGAGAAGAATATCTGGTCGAGGCGGGAATCGAACACACGAGCTTCCGATCGTGAGTCGGACGCACTACCACCGCGGCCAATTCCACAAAACGGTGCTCTCACGATAAGAAATTCATGGATCCATTTTCATTACAAAATGTTAAACAGTTCATGAAATATTGAAAAAAATCGATTTTCATTGTGTACTTTCCAAGGACTGCACATTTTTTGTGTGCGTATATTTGCATGAAGGTTAGTTATATTCAATCGGTTTCTTTTTGACCACAGAATATGTGTTTCAATTTATGACCTACCTTTTTTGTTACCCCCTGTGTATGAATTACGCTTTATAAATGGGAGGAAAACAGGCGAATATAAAATTCTGGGAATTACCATTTTAGAAGGTGACACGATGCTTATTCGAATTATTATATTTGTATGCTTCACCTGAAAAAAAATGCATTGTTTAATTTGAAATCATTCACGCCACTAAATATTTGCAATACTTTCTTTTACTGGATGAATCACGTATTCAGTAAAACACGAACATCAAAACCGAAGGAAGGATTTGGATTTATCAGAGGAAACATTGCGGATGAAGGAGATAATGTTTTATAGAGTTGAACTATAATGATAGTGTAGTCGCAGTTCTCCTCGAAATGACGTCTTCTGTTCGATTTAACGACAACGAAGTAGATTCTGCTGGAATCTCAAGAAGTGCTACATTATCAAACACAGTGAGATGTTCCACAATTATAAATAATGAAGACCTTAAGTGTTATTACAAAAGTATATTCGAATGTGTGAGTATGTTAGTTATAGATTTTCTCTACTAGCAACCCGCCTCGGCTCCGCACGGGTGCAATGCTGATACTAAATATAAATTCACACACCAGAAATTTAAGGGCATGAAGAAACAGTGATGAAAAGATAAATTTGTTTTATGGACAAGCCTACATACAAAATTTCACCCTCCGAAAATATAGCGGTACGGAGAAACAGTGATGAATAGATAATTTCCATATGTAAACGCGCCCCTTTTACTCCCACGGGGGACTTCCCAGTTGGAATATTTGAAAAACCTTACTTAGTGCGCATCTAAAACTTAAGAAGCACCTATAAATAAAATTTCAGCTTCCTAGGACACACCAGTACGGAGAAACAAAGATGAGCGAGTGTCAAAGTGACTTTCACGTTTATAAGTATGAATTTCATTCAGAGCGATAGATAGTTGATTAATGCTGAGAAGTTTTTCTGGTGTTATGTTACAAGCCAATTAGTTTTCCCAGAGATATATGACTTTTTTCGTATTTTGAACCAATTTCTCTCTATTTTCATCTACTTATATTGAAATATGTGTTTTGGATTGTGCTTTGGACTATTTTCAAGTATAGGTATAAGGTGTAACATAAATGATGACGTCATATTTTATGAAGTAAGTTTGTTGAGCCCCTAACTGTTGACAACTACACCATATTTGTAGACTTGCTGATAATCAGGTTAACTCTATTATTGGAATAGCTTCAGGTCATTACCATTCTTCTATCATTTTCTTGTTTGATAATAATGATAACAAACGCGTTTATAGAAAGGCTACTCAGTACAAGAGATACTAACCTAACCTAACAAATGGCAGAATTCAACATGATAGGTAAATTAAGGCAGAAATTGCTCTTCCATCCAAACAGCAACAGGTAACTTATATTATTACGAAATATTTTACAGTGAAACTTAAAGAAATATAAAGGGAGAAAAGCAGGAAAGAGAGATGGAGAACGAATGGATGAGAATTTGATCCATCAAATGTAAAAAGTCATGTCATGAACAGGAAATTTTAAATAATACTAACTTTGGTGGTATTTTCTACATATTTATGGTAAATGAATATTAAGTATAGGTATCAACTGATCAATGTTAAACAAGAAGAGGACCGGATTGTAACATACATCTCTTCAGATTTTTATTTCATCTATCCCTTCAGAATCTGGCGTCAAAGCAATAAATGAAATCTTCGATGAATTAGAATTACTTTTCTTGCCAAAATTTATCTTTATTCGGTATATGTTGTCATCGATCTAACAATTTTAATGCAGGAGTCTTTTTACTGATTATTTATAGACAAAAAATAGTTTTTCTAATCAGTCGATATTTCGCAAAATTTGATTTGCACTTTCAGATCGGGAGTATAAGAATTGACTTGTTTGTGGTTCTTGTTCAAAATTTATATCGGACAAACCGGAAGAACTTTTCGCAAAAGAATGAAAGACCATCGAAGTAGTTTTTTGAATAGAAAGGCCAATTCAACATTTGCGAATCATCTTTTAATAGAGGCGCACGAGTTCAATCACGATGATGACGTATTGCATTAGGGAGAAAAAAGTTCAAAACTCAACCATTTGGAATGTTTAGAAATCAATAGATGTAAAAATTCGGGATTATTGCTAAATGAATAAATAGATTCGAATTGTATTCCTGTTTCTCCAGTCTTATGAGATACTTACTAGATAAGTAAATAGTTTAGGTAATTAATTTATTGTGTAGAAATTTGGCAGTTATCAATAGTCATAATGATTCAAACTACTATGAAAGCACGAAACAGAATTTGTACAAACAGTATTGTGATCCCAAAGATTATATCGTATAGCGAAACAGGTGTCGCGTTTTTGTAAACTTTTAAGTGAAAATCTCACATTGAAGTGTGTATTTTGAATACGAAGGAATAATTGATATAACTGTATTAAAATTATTCCAGATTTTCCGAGCTTGTCTTTCGCACTTTCGCAAATAATTAACCCTCACCTACAGGTTCCCAACTGATCAACGATTTTGCAGTAAAAATATGTAATGAATCAGAAAGTGTTGGTCTTGCGATAACAGGAGTTCCTTGTGTTTCGAATGATGAACATGCACCGAGAGAGGACGCAAAATGCTAAACTACATTGTAATAATTTTCGGAGGGCAAGGGAAAAATCTGGATTGATTTTCCTACAGCTAAGCCAATTAGTCCTTCAGTTAATGTCGGTTATTGACCGGAGGAGTCTTCCATTCAGCATAAAACATATTTTTCGATAACATGGAAGTACCGCAACGATGGATTATTTTGAATTATACATCAGTAATAACAATTGCTGCATGATCGCATATCTGTCTTGCGGTTTTTTTACCACAAACCTCATCGCTTTGAATTTGATATCACTATAATGCATGGGATTGTCTCCATAATGTACATGAACGCTCGAGTTAGTTTAAAAATTTTGAATTCTACATTAATTCACTTCAAGTGAGTGTCAGAATAGGAATGTGGGATTACTCAGAATCGAGAGTACGAAGCTGGAAGCATGGATTCTCCCAACAGGGACTTCCGAGCTTTGACAGTTGATCTGCCATCTGGTTGAAGCTACATCTGTCAAATTAGTTGTCATTCATTAAGTCGGTTCTGCCAAATCACCATGCAAGGATTAAGCCTTCAACAACACGTGCAAATAATAAAATTGTTTTATCAGAATGGATGTTCTGTTCGGGCAACGTACCGCGCGCTTTTGCCTATTTTACGGTTGCCATAATCGTCCTAGCGAGAGGACTATTCACAATGTGGTGGATAAACTTGAGCCCACTGGTTTAGTAAACGATCTACCATCAACCGTACGTCGACGAAATGCAAAATATGCAGAAAACATCGCTGCTATCCGTGAGAGTGTGTAGGAGAATCCGAGGCAGTCGATTTCGCGTCGCTCACAAGAACTCAGCCTTTCGCAGACCAAAACTTGATGAATTTTGCGTCGTGGTTTGGGCCTGCACCCGTACAAAATTCAATTAACGCAGGAACTGTACTTGCGATGCATTGTTTGGAACCTTTGGTGTAGTAATGAATATTACTGGAGTTTTTTCCCTCTTGAAGATTTTCACTTGGTGATCGAAACACGTGTCGAGGTGTTAAAATAACGGTTTGGTGTTCCCGTCAGTTGGGCTACCTATCGGGCGCGTCCCCAGGTGGTGGATAGGGAAACGACCAGGGGACTGGAGGTCCTGTCTGGGAAGCCAATGTGGCCTTATGGTCGGGGTCGACAGACTCCTGGTCAGTGGCAGATATAAGTAGCGTGAGGGGAACTAAAACTCCACAAAAGCCTTTGCGAAACATGCCACCGTAGACCAGCCTATCCAAGCTAAGGTGCAAAGAATCGTTCTGACAGCTGAATGGCCGCGGGGTGATATGCGGTTACGAATGATCCCCTTGGGCGAAACCTCATTGTAATCAGGCTACCTCTGGTAATGCTGGGCACTACCAGAGGTGACCAATTCTTCCCTTGCTACTCGTGGGAACACACATGAATGAAACAAACACAAAAACAAAAACCAATCCCGAGCCTGGATAGAAGTGCTCACCTCAATCTGAGACGGTGGCCCAATCTACCGCTTGGAATGAGGCTGGACATAACAGATCATCTCGTGATGTAATACAAAGGCCAAGGCGTGAACGCATTTGCGACGCCGAGGCCAAAAGGAGACAGAGAGCGAAGGAGGCAGGAGTGGCAGCAACTATAACTACGCCTTCCTCCTCCCCCCTCCACCTCCAACAGCAAGGACACTTCCAGAAGCGGGCGCCAAGAGCTCTGCCTTGAATAAAGGGAAGGAACCGGCTGCCTCTGCAGGAAAGCTCCCTCACTTGTGCACCTCCACGAAGGGAACCCCAAAAAGGTTGAAGAAGACGCGCAACGACAGTAATGTCGCTGCACCTTCCAAAACTTTCGCGGAGGCCACCCTGAGACACCTCAAGGTTGCCAAAGAGAGTGTGTGTTTGGCGATTCTTGGCCTATACCTGCAAATATAAAGATGTACCCTAGTGACCTGTCCACCTTCCTGGAGAGGGCAGGATGGACGATGACCTAGGAGGACAAATCCTCGGGGTACAATGGGTCACATGTGGCCTGAGTGCTGTGGGTCTACACACGGTTTGATGTTAGGAAAAAACTCCAGTAATATCCAGGAACTGAAGGTAAGCGATCATAGACGATGGCGTGTGTTCGCATCTTCAGCAATGAGGTCGATTTCTGGAAGAATGGGTACGTGAACAAATAAAATTGTCGAATTTGAAACGAACCGATACACATGAGATCCAAGAGTCACTGTTAGGTGTGGATTTTGGGCTGTCGGCAATGACATGTGGTTTCAATATGACGGCGCTACGTGCCACACAGCTCATGCCAAATGTGGCATAAGCTGTGTGGATATTTTGTACGATCGATTCGAGGGTATGGCCATCTCACGTGGAGGTATTGTGAACTGGCCACCGATATCTTGCGATTTTACTCCGTTAGTTACTCCGTGGGGTTTTCCTAAGTCGCAGGTGTATGCGAATTAGCCACAGGACCGCTGTGTGCCACAGGACCGCTGTGTGCCACAGGACCGCTGTGTGCCACAGGACCGCTGTGTGCCACAGGACCGTCATGGAAAACTGGATATTTTGGATGCGCTCCATCTGGATAAGAGCACGTGGCGGATATTTGAACGATGTTACATAACACACAAAATGGCATCGATAGGTCTTTCAAACGAATGAAAAATGTCGATGATAGTCACACAACTTTGTTTAATTCAAATTTAACGATAGGAAGCGCTTTATTTGTTTATTTGATTCCAAAGCCGAAAAACATTGCACTCATAATCGAGTAGACAGCACTGCTTCAATATTTAGTGGTATTGGGCCGATCATGGTGATGATGACTCTCTTAACTACTGATATCAAAAGATGAACATTTTAATATAATTGTGAAACTACAAATTATTATCATTATATTTATGAAATTATGATTTTCAGTGCGACCGTAACAAAGATGGAGTTATAAGTATATCCGAGCTGAAGGAGTTCATAGAGACTCAAGACAATATTGATATAAGTGAAGAGTTGGCTGAAAGGATCTATTATCAGTTTGATACGAACAAAAATGAACAGATCGATTTCACAGAATTTGTGGAAATGGTAAATAGCCCATTGTTCAAAAATACTTTTGAAAGATTAACGAGAAGGTTAGTTATTTTTGAATATGTTATTTTATTTAGAGTACTAATAGAAAACCAGTCTCGAAAGTATTTCCAAGTTTTCGTCAATCCCACTTCCTAAGTTTTCCTCAAGTTTTCTAGTGAAAACAGCATTTTTAACGTTTGTTCGCTCAACTCCCAAACGGAGCATTATGCCAAATGTGTATCATATCCAAACTTGTAGAAAAAATTCTACAAGGGAATAATTATAAATGTCTTTTCATGAGCAGATGCGATTCTAAATATCTTCTTATAAGCAACAGCAAAGGTAATATAGTCACGTTCCAATCTTTCTGGATCGCTTGAATTCTATAAAAAACAGATTATTGTCGCTGTAAAAACACAAATAGTTTTTTACCGCAAATCGAATTTAAGTTGTTGGTTATTTTATGTCTGCTACTCTTCAACTATATATTTCGTTACTGATATTCATGTGTCTGGGAGCTGAAACAAATGTATATACAGTCGTGTTTTGGAGAATTTGAATGTGGTTGTGGGTCTTATGAATGAGCACTAAATCGAAAACAATCATCTGGTTGAAACATGGAAGAAAATGGAAGAATAAGAACGCAAAAAAGAGGCGCAAGAAAACACAATGAAAGACAGAAAGCGAAAAGAGGAGTAGGACCAAAGAATGAAAAAAAAAACAGGAGAAAAGTACAAGAAATGAAAGTGGAAATAGAAGAACAAGAACGGTGATAGGAAAATAAATTGGATGAGCGCAGAGAGAAAAATGTCAAGAGGAACAGCGGAAATGAATAAAGAATTTCTATGTGGTTGTGGGTCTGATAAATGAGCAATAAATCGAAAACAAACAACAGGTTGAAACACAGAAGGAAATAAAAGAATGATAACGTAAAAAAGAGGCACAAGAAAATACAATGAAAGAGAGGAAGCGAAAAGAGGAGAAGAACAAAAGAATGCAGTATACCACAGCCAACTCGGAATCCTATACCTACAACCACATGAAATCCTGCAGAAGTACGGAGCAGATATCCAGAGACTAATCTGTTTGGACTATCCCTAAGCCCCAACGGAAATTGTAGATTGGGGTACAGGTCGTCGCCAACGGTTTGAGGAACACTGAAATGCAGCAAGTTTGTAAACTTAGCTCCATACCTAATGACGCATGCCTTATTGATATCCCCGCTTGGACTCGTGGAAGCGAAAAGTGCTGCCGAAAAGATTAAAATGCAGTTGAGGAAAATAACCGAGTCAACGTTGAAGCAGAAAATCAACATGCGCATACAAACCAGCTATACATTTTGAGAGTCGTATAGAAAGCTATTGGAAATAGCTAAGGCCTCAAAATATAAGGTCAATGAATCCACCACCTGCAGGGATATTCGTAAGTTGCAGCGGAGTTGCCAGCATCGACCATAAAAAATGGACAACCGATACGTGTTACATCTGAAAGACTATATCAAGAGGGACCAGATCTATCAGAAAAGAGGAAGCCGGAATGAAGATGATGTGTTGAAATTGGTCTAATCCGGCTCACCAAGAAGTTCGACCTCTTTGGTCTCCAAGTATAGTGCATATGTCAAAGAGTACTGCTCAGTGGAATTTCATATTCCATATCGAAAGTGGGCGAGCCCAGAAATATACCAGAACAACTGCATATAACTTAAAAAGGAGAACAATTCCTCATTATCGATAGAGTTACTATTGAGTCAAATATCGCTATTACGCTGAAAAGTGAAGTTAAAAGACGATGAGAACTTTACCTTTACACTTCAAGAAAGGACTTTCCTTCACACTTCAAGAAAGGACCCACAACGAGTTCGCAAGTGAACACATTGTGAAGACATTGTGTGGTTATAATAACTTCAGAGTAGAAAGGGGGGCTGTCCCAAGATATAGATGATTATAAAAGACCCCTACTTGGTGATTTTTTTGTCCAGAAACAACACCGTAATCATGCCTCAGCCACTGTATTCACCAGATTTGACCCCCTGCTTTTTTCCCAAGATTGAAGAGACCCATAAAAGGATGGCGTTTTGCGACGATTGGGGAGACAAACATCGAATCGCAGAGAGAGCATAAGGGCATACTAAAAAGTGCGTATAAGAACTGCTTGAGGATTGGGAATAACGGTGGCACAAACAAACTATGTTTTGATTGCATTCCCTATATCTCACCATTATGGAAAGCTATTGCTTTTGTCGATTTCTCCAGAAATATTTTCACCAGACCTCTGATTCAGTTTATATGATATATTCATATCAATTAAAAAGTCTATTCGTTTTGGGACTGTAGGCTTTCACGGCTGGCGTCAATGTTTTTGTTGGTTTCCGGGTTTTGCCGCGGTCTTCTTTGGTTATCTAAAAACGTTTCAACTGCAACTGCGACAATTGAAACGTTCAGTTGACATATCAACTGAAACTGAAGCTCTCATATCTGCCAGGCCATTTATAATGCTGATTTTTGGCGCACTTTCTGTAATGGCGGGTTCGCGCGTTATTTCCGCGCGATTTGGGTGACATGGTTTCGTTTTGGCGCCTTTCAATGCTGTGTGCCAACAAGAATACATTTAGAAGCCATAGAAATACTCAAGCAACAAGAGAACTCTAACAAAAAAGAAGAGGTGGTGGTGGTAGAGGTGTTGGAATATGTTTTTTCATCAAATCGCTGTATAAATACAGATTATATTACTCTTCTATTTCGGCAAATGGTCTAGAGCAGCTATGGATTATAATCAATATAAACAACCAAAAAGTAGCCTGTGGAGTTGTTTATCGCCTACCAGGAACAAATGTAGAGGACTGTATGCAGGAGTTAGCTAATGTACTGGAACGAGTGTATTTGGAAACATCTATTGTGGTGCTAGTTGGTGATATTAATATTAATTTGTTAAACTGTGACTCTCGCGACACTCAACTATTCACTGCCCTAGTTTCTTGTTTCAAATTGTAGAACATTCTGCTCGTATAACAACAACTTCTGAATCTCTGATTGATATAATTTGCATTAGTAAGGAAGTAATGGTAAGAAATTCTAATACACTTGATATGAATGGTATAACTGATCATCTAATGGTATTTTGCGATATTAATTTCGAAGGCGAAGATTTCAATCATGAACTTTTTTCTCAAGATGCTGCTAACTATGCCAGATATTAATTCCAAACTAAATTTTCTTAACGAATGCATCATTATGCTTTTCGACAAACGTGCTCCAATTTGCACTATAAACAGAAAACATAAAGCATCCCCGTAAATAACTTATAATATCAAATTGATGATGAAAAACCCGTGATAGAGCTCATGCCAAATATCTTAAAGAAAAGACAGCAGCCGCTAGACAGTACTATGTAACATTACGCAACTACGTCAATGACGCAGTAAAACGTAAAAAACAGCATTTTGAACAAAATTAAAAACAATTCAAAAATGACATGGAGAAATCTTGCAGATTGGGATGTTACTACAAAATCATCCTCGCAAACCAATAGCCTGCCAATTGAAGTACGTAGACCTGAAGAAATCAATGACTATTTTTTAAACGTGGCTGGAAATTCAATAGTAAATAATGACACTCTTTCATTCTACAATAATAATGAATTGAACGCTCCTATGAACTTTTCCCTCACCTATATATGTGATGATGATATTTTGACTGCTGTCAAGGAAATAAAATGTAATGCTTTAGGTATTGACGATATAAATATCAAGATGATTTCTTTAGTGATACCACACTGTATTGATGAAGTTAAACATATTTTCAACGAGTCCTTCAGACAGGGTATTTTTCCAGATGTTTGGAAGGTTGCTAATATAATTCCAATTCCGAAAAAGAATGCACCTACCACGTTCAATGACCTACGCCCTATCAGCATTCTGCCCTCATTCTCTAAAATATTCTAGAAAAATGTTTCCCGTCAAATAAGAGCTTTTTTTGAAGAAAATCGAATACTCCCGTACGAGCAGTCTGGGTTCCGCAAAAGAACACGGAACACAGACTGCCCTCTTGAAAGTAATCGACGATCTTGCGAGATTCAGAGATCAATAAAAAGTCACCATTTCAGTACTGCTTAATCAAAGTAAAGCTTTCGATTTAGTTAATTTCGATTTAGTCATCAGCAAGCTCAAGTTCATATGATTCGATGACATTTCTCTTAAATCGATGACCAGCTGTCTCACAGGCCGATCACAGAGGGTCAAACTGGATGATTATTCATGGTCATCCCTAAAAGAAACAATCTCAGGTGTACCGCAGGGAAGTATATTAGGACCCTTGATGTTTTCACTGTTTATTTTTGATTACCCCACTTTCTTATCATATTGTCAAGTACATCTATACGCAGATGATATACAGTTATATTTGTCTTCTCATAACACCGATACAGAAAGTTGCGTGGCCAATATAAACACAGATTTGCACAAAACATTCCTATACTCGGAGAATAATAAAAAAAAGTACTAAAAAAGTATAAATGTAGATATAAAAAAGTTCCAAAAATGTATAAATGTCAAAAAAAAAGTTCTAAAAATGTATAGATAAAATCCACCATGTATAAAGTGATAGTACAAAGAATAAATTGCTAATATATTGTTAAAAGGATTCGCTAAAATACTCTTCCAAACTATAATAGGGTCTATCAACAAGTAGGTTCTTCACCGCCTTTTTGAAATGAATGTTGCTTAAATTTGCAGATCTCATTTCTTATGGTAAATGATTGAACAATTTACCACTATTATAGTAGATGGTATCCTTGATTAAATTCGAAGTTGAGATGGGAGTATTGTTGTTCGGTGTATTACAATTTTTTGCCGCAATATAACAAACAGAAGTTACAACGTATACAAAATGCTTGCATGCGATTCGTATGCTATATACCATATGGTGAACATGTCACCCCATTTTTGTTAAAAATGAAGGAGCTGAATGAGAGGTACAGAGTCCAATATTTGATGAAAATGTTTTTGTTTAAGTTGCTTCAAACTAAAACAACTAGTTATTTATATAGTTTATTAAGCAGGCATTCTGACATACATATGGTCAATTTGAGAATTAACTCATTCAACATACCTAGGCACCGTACTTCCAAATTTCAAGGATGTTTTTCTTATATGGCCCCTTCTTATCTGAATGGAATTTTACCCCTTTTAAATCATAATATTTATCAATTTAAGAAAGAAATAAAATCACAGATGCTTACTGCTCAGTGTTAATTTGAAAAATTGAAAATTCAATGTATGGTAGTGCAATGAAATTGTTAAATTGACCAAAATAATGTTAAGAATATTAAGTCTTATTAGCAACTATATGATGTATTATTTTTTTCTCTTCTCTATTATTGTTGTGATAGTAAATAAGTGTGTTTATAATTATTTTCTTATACTCACTGTATAATTTTTAGGAGGGGTGGAAGATAGCCGTTGGCTAACTCTTTTCCTTTTATGTATAAATGTATTTTTATGCATAAAATCTGTTTAAAATCTGTTTTTCCGTTAATCAGCTATCGCCCCCATACGAACGACAACTCTCAGAAGTTGAGAACTTGTGCGAGCTAAGGACTAACGAGGTCTTACCTTTTAACGTGTGATTCCTAACACGGATATTATTATTTTTATTACATCTACCAAAGATCGGGCTGATCAATTGGACTGAATGAGTATTCACTGAGATATTACAGTTCAAAGTAGACTCATAAAATCGGAAAAAACTTTTGAAATAACCTAATACATTTATATTTTAGAACTTGAACGATGTTCATGAATTGTTTGTACTTTCATTTGAGTTTTTTTTTCAGAATATGTAAGTTTATTGTAGTAATACCAAATCGAAAGAAAGCACTCACTCTACAAAGGACACTTACAACTACTGGCCAATATGAAGCGAGTTTCAAATTCCAGAAGAGTACCGTTCGCATTTTGATATTATCTGTTCTCCAGATATGTTTATTTTACATCAATGAGGCCTATAAGTCTGAGGATAGAGAGGGTCCTTATTATTGCTATTTTGCTTTTTTACCTTGCCGAAAATTTGAAATGTATCGTTACTTGACTTATTGCTTTGTTCATTCAAGGTGAGTACATAAAAAGGGGGGTCTATAAAATTTACATCTTTCTTTTGTTTACTGTACTTCATTTTTTACCCTTTTATTTTTGGAACTTAGGGATTATAAATTTACGAGTTATTGTATAGTATTTCCAATACCAATTGGAACAGCACAGAGAAGGAATTCTCGCCTCGACATAGGCGTCGGCATATTATTTTAAAGTGGTGGTTTTTCAGTTTCTTATTTTTACAATCATAGCAATTGATCACCCCATGAAAAAGTTATCTCAACTGAATTTTTCCACCATGGGTAATTATGAAAAACTTCGAAATTTAAGGTAGTTCATTTTCCGAATCGAAAACTTTAAAATACAATGAAAACACAAATAATCATACCGAATTCACGTCAAAAATATATTTACAAATTAATAGAGGCCAACAAAATTGCTAAAAAAATCAAAATTCTTCTTTGCTATATTCGGATGAGGTGGAATCATCATCGGGTTGAATAACTATCGGATTTATGGAACTTTGCACATAATATTTGTTCTCTTCTTTTATAACGTGGGCCACACAGTTCTTCCACACATCACTATTACCTACTTCATTCACCACTTGCCTTAAATTGTCAAGCACTACAGCATTCAAAGTCGGTGACTGATTATATTTCCGCAAGCTTTCATTCATTTGGCCAAAACATTTCAACTGGATTGAACACACAATAGTATGGAGGCAAACGTGGGAGTATATGACCATGTGTTTCAAACATCGAATCAATAATACACTCTTTTTTGAAATTACGTTGTTTTCTGGTCAACAATATCTGCTTTTTTTGTATTATTGTTTGGTGTTGGAATATTTGGGAGAAGCTGCTCACTGAACCAGCTTTCGAATAAAGCCGCAGTCATATCTTCGTGGTAAGCAGTAGACGAATCTTTTATATTTTTAGCCGACAGAAGCAAAGCGTTAGGTACGAAACCACTTTCATTCCCGGCATGCAAAATTATAACACGTTTTCGCCTTGAAGAAGGTGTGTTCAAAACACAATACTTGGTTTCGTCTACCCAGCCATATTTGACATCATGGGTGTCAAACCAAGTTTCGTCGAGGTAGATTATATGTCTGCTGGATTCTCGGTAGCTTTTCATTCGCCTCAAATATTCTTGTCGGAGTTGAACAATGCGTGTCGATTCCATTATGGCCATCCGATTGTTCAATTTTTCATATTTGAAACCACAAGACAATAAGACACCTCGTAGAGTTTCTAAAGATTTGCAATTGTAATCGGGATAGTCGACTAATTTATACCAAATCATTTCCAAGGTTGGGACTTCATTTTTTTGGTATATACCATAAATTGTCCGCCGAATCACATCTTTTGTAGCACCATCAACATTTGCGAATTTTTTATTCCTTTGTTTTCGTTTCATTGCATGGTCAATGACATCCCCTATTTTAATGACTCGAAGAACTGTTGAACAAGATAGTTTCGTTAACTCGCATATTCTATTTACAATTCTGTGAAATGTGACAGTTTTTCTTCTTCAAGCATTCATAAATATTTAAAATTACTCGCTGAACTTGAACATGCAAGTCCTTATTTTCAAATTCCGGATCCCTGTCGATTGACACAGATTCCTCACACGTAATGTTATCATTTGTTTCAAAAGGTCTCCAGAAAGCCATATTGATGGAAGTACCCAAAAACACAAGATTTTCACAAAAATCGGTTTAAACGATGAGATTGGAACCTTTGGTGTGAAAGTTCAAAACTTTTTCTAGAGATCAATTACCCTAACACCAAACTGATATTTTTGCACTCGACGCGCGTTTCGCTAAAAAGGTTAACATCTTCAGAATAACCAAATTGATACTGAATCTAAAGACAAGGGTTAGCTGTTCATATACCTAAAGTTTTTTGGTCAGATGTGGACTTTGTTTGTTGAATGATGATTATCCTAATTGATTTTCCGGTAATTAACTAGTGGAACCACTACCTGCAAATTAATTCGTCCGCTTTTTAATCTATTATTGACGAATTAATTTGCAGATAGTGGTACCACTAGTTAATTACCGAAAAATCAATTAGGATATTCATCATTTAACAAACAAAGTCCACATCGGACCAAAAAACTTTATATATATAAACAGCTAACCCTTGTCTTCAGATTCAGTAACAATTTGCTTCGCCTGAAGATGGTAACCTTGTTAGCGAAACGCGCGTCGAGTGCAAAAATACCAGTTTGGTGTTAGGGTAATTGATCGCTAGAAAAAGTTTTCAAAAATCGATTTACAAAACCACTCACTACCTCACCTAACCCTACGAACACACGGCACTGATAAAGAAATATTGTGAAACGGACAAAAAATTAGTATTCAGTCAGTCCAGCTAGCCGATCCTTTATTCCTCATCTACGTTTGATAGCACGTTAACTAACTATCTGGGCGACTAGGAGCCACAGGCAAGAAATGTTTATGACTGTAATCTTATTTTTTTGCCGTTCCAATTGGGAATGGATAGACTATAATTATTATTTGTTATACAGAACGATGATAAGTCTCGTAAATCGTAAGAGATACAGAATTGGTTTGATCATAGCAAAGTTGCTGACTGGATGTATCGTCATCTGAACGGCATGCTTCATAACCATAACTCTCGCACATTCGGTTCAATTAACTTATATTAAATCTTTCAGTGAGATGCATTTGTATGGGAATATATTCCTTCAACTTCTCTTGGGTATACCAATTGAAGTAATACATAAGTGGAGAGTCTTTCCCATATATTTCTTGGGTGTTCTGGGAGGATCCCTGACTCATGCGGTGATAAATAGAGAAGTTGGAGCAATTGGAGCTAGTGCAGGAATATCTGCATTTCTTACAATCCCCATTGCAGCAGTCATATTAGTGAGTATGTCGGAATTTGAGATGGCGGTACACATTTTTTGTGGCTTGCCTGTATGTCATATAATGTTTTTTCCAAATTCAATTTTCCGATTTGAATTGGAAGGGAGAGACTGACTTTTAGGAATGAAAGGTTTTGGCTTTCTATTTCTTCATCTTCATTATATAAATGTGGGAATATTCCAAAGGAAGGAAGAGCCATATTTGACAACATCATGGGTGTCAAACCAAGTTTCGTCGATTAAATGGTACAAAAGTTGCATTTTTGGTATGCAAGATATTCTCAATTCGACAAAATCACCAACCTTTTCTGAGATATTCGCAAAAACTGAAAATGGCAGTTTGTTTGAAGGTGATTGACAATGTTTCGTGATGAATTTCACTAGTTCGGACTTCCATTGTCTACTATATAAAATGATTTGAAATCCCTGAAACAAGTAAAAAAGAATAATTAAAAAAGAATAGTTGAAAATAACAATTATATTAAGCAACATTAAACCTGAAATGAAATGATAGTGAAATAACCTACAAGTAAAAATATAATAATTGAATAAAAAAATTAAAGGAATGAAAAAAGAAAATGATAAAAAAATAAAAAAGTGTAGAGATTCCAAGTCACGTTAGTTCACGACGTTTCGATTGTTGGTATCTACAATCGTCTTCGGGTGAAATTGAAAATGGCAGATTTGGCTCTGCTACCACCATTTTCAATAAAATCAAAAAATGACAAAGGAACTTTCTGCTTTATTCGATAATTTTCATAATATGGTTCAACATATTTTTCAATGCGACGTTTCGTTCATTGAAATCCATCATCAATATATTTTTTCTAACACATTTTATACATTTCGGTAGTCATTGTAATTACAAATGCATTGACATATAACAACATATATATTTCTCGACGTTTTTTTTTTTAAACACTCCATCAAAATTCCATATTTGAACAATGAGAAATAAAATTTCTGAATATGGTTGCAAGCACATAATTAAAAGTATCGTAATACACCGCAATGAGAAAGAAACATTTGCGAAAGAGAATGTAACGAAAATATAACTTAAGGCATTCCGTTATGATGTTCATTTTCTACTATTTTTTAAGTCACCGTCTCACGCGATATCGCATTAAATGTTCAAATTATCAACCATCATTTCTTAAACAAATACTTGGTCTAGATATAGTGTGCTTGTGGCAGTTCTCTAACATCTGTGGAGTGATAACTCATGATTGAATCTTTCAATTCCTCAATATTTTTAAAATTTGTTATGGATCTATACTTTATTTGTGAAGTCATAAAACAACAATAAAAATTAATTGGCGCGCCGAGGCGACTTCATTGATTCCAGTGGCGCATTTGCTTTTTCAGCTGCAGAAAAACCCGGAGAAACCTGCAGCACCACATCATCTGAAGATCTTGATCTGCTAGAACAGTTTATGACACGACTATCGTCAAACTTAAACCAGTCCGTTTCGTCTTTGACCAAATTCAACGCCAGAACCACAGTGAACAATGACTGCATGAATATTATAATAGTGGTTTACTAGACTGAAGTGTTCATTTATTTCGAACCTTCGAAATAGTTTGGTGCTTTCGTCAGAGGTTGAGTCTTGTTTGAAGATCATCAGTGTTATTATTGGATTGACTGGTGCCTTAGCTATAGTTTCCTTATAACAGTCAGTTAGTTTGGCGCATGTTTGGCAATACAGTCGATCATCACCTGTTAAAAATTCCATTTTCAGATGATTTAACATATTTTATGGAGCCTCACAATCGTCATCGGTTGATGACTGGACTAATTCCTCCGAGAGATGACTATTTATGGGTCATTCGAGTACTTTCACTTATCTCCGCTTTTCTTTTTCCGCTTCACCGGTTCAGTGGGAGATGACCGTTTGGCTGCGGTTGACCATTTTTCGCTTGATTATAGGTTTCCATATGTTGCGTATCTCTACGCTAGCTTGGCTGAATACATTGTTGGACAACACGTGTGCGGCTTTTTTGAATATCCTCCTGAACTAATGTTCTTTCCTGTGCTTGATCTCAGCTTGGTACCACTCGATGTAATGTTGATGGGTCCAAACATGCTCTGCTCTACCTGATTTGCTGGTATTTCCTCGCCGTATCTGTTTCTTGTGCTCGGCAATGCGAACATTCAATGACCTCTTAGTTTCACCAATATAAGATTTTCCGCACTCACAGGGTTCCGGTGAATGCAATTCTTGGAATCGCAGTCCGCGTTTGGTGGCCTGGTTTTCGTAAGGCTGCTACGGATAGTGTTTCCGGATCTGAGGCAGGTTTTGATGTTGTACTTGGACCCAATCCTTTCTTATCCTTTCCGACAATCCACTGATGTAGGGAAGTGCAAGCACTGGTTGTGACGGCTTCTTTTCCTTGAGAGGCTCCTGCTGTCTCTTAGCCAAAATCTATTTCACCATCACTTTGGAGTAGCCATTCCATTGAAGAGCATTCTTGATGACATCTAGTGGCTTCTCGAGACCTTCCTTCGTATTACAGAGCCCAAAAGCACGGTCTGATAGAATCTTGATTATTCTTCTTTTAGTCAATTGATGGTGGTTGGATTCGTGGTTCAGATACTGTCTCGTGTTAGTGAGTTTTCGGTATACAGATGTTTCCCACTTAGTGTCGGTCCTCTTCATCAATACGTCTAAGAATGGCACTTGTGAAAGTGATGGAAGGTCTTACGCTGTTGATGTGTTTCAGGAAAGCGTCTTTTTCAGTATTCCTCTGTACACACACAGTGAGGGAAATCTCCGCTAAACCGGAGATGCGGAAAGAGAAAAGTGTAAGTACTCGAATGACCCATAAATAGTCATCTCCCGGAGGAATTAGTCCAGTCATCACCCAAAGACGATTGTAGATACTAACAATCGAAACGTCGTGAACTAACGTGACTTGACATCCCTTAATTTTAATTTTTTTTGTCTAATTTTTCTATTTTTTACTTGTATTTCATCTCACTGTAATTTCATTTTAGGGTTTTTTGCTTGATATAATTGTTATTTTCAGCTATTCATTTTTAATTCGTCTTTTTTAGTTCTTTCAGGGTTTTCAAATCATTTTATATAGTATCAGACAATGGAAGTCGGAATTAATGAAATTCGTCATGAAATATTGTCAATCACCTCAAACAGGACCATTTCCTATCCATCTTCCTGGCATAGTTGTATTGAGGACATTTCTGCACATTCTCCTGCGATGTGGTGGAGCTCCGTCATGTGGAACATATTCATATTCTCCTATTATCATATCATAGAGTTTTTTCAGAAGAAAACATTCAAACTTTCAGAACATTAATAAAAAATGAATCGTGGGATGACATTTTCATAGAAACATGCCCAAACAAGGCCTACGAGTGTTTTAATACTACTCTTCAATACTATTTTGAATTAGTTTTTCCAGTGATATGTATCAAAAATCCAGGGAGAAAAATCTAAAAATATCAACTTTCTTTCACCAGAACTCCAACAATTAAAAAACCAAATGATATTTTATTCGGAATGTGCTAAAGTAAATGAAAACTACACAGAAATGAGCAAAAAAATAACACAGACTTACAGAGAGAAATTAAAGTCTACTCACAAACGATATGTAGATGAGCACATAAATGCTTCAAAAAATAAATCGAAATCCATGTGGCAAATGATACACAAAATTAAAGGGGAGAACCCATCAAATGAAGTTAAAATTCACCAGAATGGTATTCGACTCCCAGACAGCGAAATTGCAAATAATTTCAATATACAATTTTCCAAATATGTGGTCCAACAAAATACAAACCTCAATTATATAGTTGATAACATACAGGTTTGTCCCAAATCAATTTTTTATCATCCTCTAACAGAGTATGATGTTATTGAGTTGATTAGAAGCTTGAAAAATTCCAACTCAAGTAGCCATGATGAAATATCAAACAATCTTCTCAAAAAATCTGTTTTTGAATTGTGTTGTCCTATAAAACATATTATAAACCTTTCCACTGAACATGGAGTATTTCCTGAAATCTTGAAAATGGCAATTGTCTCTCCTGTGCATAAAAGAGGAGACAAAAACCTGTACGAAAATTACAGGCCAATTAGTCTACTCTCAAGTATCTCCAAGGTTTTTGAGTTGAATATCAAAAATCAGTTATTGTCTTTTTTCGCAAATAATAAACTTCTTTCCCCAAATCAACACGGATTTACTAAAAGTAAAAGCACAGAGACAGCACTTTACCAATTTAACGACCATATAATAAATGCACTCGATGGCAAATTAAGTATTTGCGGTTTGTTCATAGACTTTTCAAAAGCATGCTACTACGGAAATTGCAAAGATATGGTGTGAGGGGTGTTGCCTTGAATTTGATGAAGTCTTATTTAGAAAACAGAGTTCAGAGCGTCAAGATTGGAGATAAAGTTAGCAATTTGGCAAATATCAAACATGGGGTACCTCAGCGTTCAATTCTTGGACCTTTACTATTCCTGATATATGCAAATGATTTGATGAGTTATTTTCATGAAATGACGACAGTTCAAGTAATAACATATGCGGACGACACAAACTTGCTATTGGTAAATCTACTTTCATCACATCACAATATTTTTTTTAATTTCACTATTTTGGCGAAATTTTCTAATGAGCCATCTACAAAAAACCTTTCCTTCTGTTGAAGTCCGTCAAACGCAAACATGGACTTTACTGACTCGATAAGGCTTGAATTTATTTTTCTTTAAAATTTTCCGTACAGACGTAGTGGATATGGCCGAATTATGAGTACTCTCCCTCAGGGATACTTCCTTGTTCTTATTCCACAAATCCTAAATCAACTGAATGTCACTTTATCATTATTGTGAATCTTCTTTGAACTCACCTGAAACGCCGACTTCAATGCCACCACATTCAATAATCGTACATTTTCTTTTGGAGGGTTTTTCAAAGGATCCATAATTTCGTAAACTATTTTCGATACGTTGAAAATATCTATGATTAGGTTGTCGTCGTTCAGGATACCATTCCTGATACATTGCCAGAGATTTGGTAACTTCTCAAACATCTCGAATAAACAAAAAGCATATCCACTTTTTCGTCATTGGAAAAATTCACGTTTTTCCCTCAGAATCGCTCACCAAATTGAATAACCGTTTTATTTTGTGTTTAACAATTAACTTGATATTCACATTCATGTACACAGATCGGAAAAGTCTAGGGATACTTTTAAAAATGGCAATCATTTTTTTTAGATCGCTTTAGGGAAAAAAAAGTTGACGGATGATTATTAAACGAATGTAACTTACAACAAAAATTATTAAATGGTCAAAAATACTGAGTGCGCATTTAAGCAAAACTAAAAAAAATATGGCTCTTCTTTGGCACCCCGAAAAAAAATCATAATACAAAAAAAATTGGAATCAGTACAAAGTATGGCCTCCACGCTGGTTTATTACGGCCCTACATCTATTGTGCATCCACAAAATGAGATTGTCAATGTCTTGTTGAGGTACATTTGCCCATTCAGCGATTAAAAGCTCTCTCAATTGAAACGTTGTGTGAATGTTCCCCATATGCGGAGTCAGGTCCGGTGATTGTGCTGGTGAGCGATTTGGTGAGGGAGCGATTTGGAAAAACGAGATCGGTTCTGCCGCCGATCATGATTCCGCCCCATAGCATTACTGTACCACCTCTGTATGTGTGGACTTCCTGGACGTGTCTCAAACGTTCATTATTTCCAGGTCGTCTCCACAGTCTTACTCGACGAGAATCTGGATGAAATCCAAATCAGGATTCGTCTGTAAACAAAACTGTGGCCCAATCATTTGCATCCCAGTTTTGATGTTCTTGACACCACTCTAATCTTCTACCGCGATTGCCTCTCGACAAAGGTGGACATCTAAGTGGCCTTCTGTTGTGGAGATCTGCTTCATGCAGTCGATTTCTGACAGTATCACGACCAATGGTTACCTGGTGCGTCTGCTGCAACACGTTAACTAACTCAGGTGCTGTGATTGTCGGTTGTTTTCTTGCGGTAAAGACCAAAAATCGGTCTTGAACTGCAGTTGTAGCACGTCCTCGCCCTGAATGTTGTTCGGCTGGACTGCCAGTTTCACGGAAACGCCGCCACAATCGACTGATAACACTTTGGGAGACCCCCAAACGAAGAGCTACATCATTTTGTCGCATGCCACCTTGAAGAAGCCCTACAGCTCTATTCATCTCAGCCAATGGTAAGTGATGGCGTTCCATATTAAAGCACAATATTTCCAGTTTAATTGCTGAGCAAGAACTGCATAGAATGTACAAACTCAACACTTTCAGATTATTCATTTTAGCCGAAAACCTACAGTTTGTAAAAAACTTGATAAAAGATTAGTTACCGTTTTTGCAGGCTTTGTTCAATCCATAGAAATCTACAGGGTGGTCGAGTGTACCAATTTAATCGAAATTAAACGACCTCATGCATTTATTTTTATGATATTTAGTATGTTATAAAAATATCCCTAGACTTTTCCGATGTGTGTATTTCATGGCTTACTTCAAAAAAAGAAATTATCGCTTATCATATTTCTCCTGAATATCATATATGACTTTTTTGATACTGTTTTGTATTAGTTAATTCTTGTTAATATTCTCAATTTCTGAACAGATATATTCGGGTAGCTAGAAAATATTTGGAAATTATGAGTGGCTTTGTATTGATACAAAGATTATTGGTTTCCTTTTACAAGACAACCCCAGAAATCTATTTGGATTTCAGTGAATATAAATATTTAGGATCTCAATGAACAACATCACCGACGGGAGAACTCTTTTTGGATTTCAGTAACATTCGAAAATTCAAACTCTCAATAAAAAAATGATAGAATATTCATGAAGTGTTTTCGGGAAAAAAGTGTTTCCATAAGAAAAACAACTCTCAGAAGTTGATAAACATGTGCGAGCTAAGGACTAATGTAACATATATGTTGTAATATATCAATGAGTTTGTAATTACAATGATTACCAAAATGTATAAAAAAATGTACAGGTCCGTATTTAAAAAAATAATATGATGATGGATTTCAATGAACGAAACGTTGCATTGAAGAATGGGTTGAACCAGATTATCAGAAACATGAAATGAAACAAAAAGTTTCCTTGCCATTTTCTGATATTTTTGGGGTAGAGCAAAACAAATAAAATCTGTCATTTTCAGTTTTTTCCAAATATCTCATAAACGGTTGGTGATTTTATCGATCTGAAAATACCATTATTCATTCCTGAAATGGCAATTTTTGTTCCATTCAACCGTCCTTGTAGGACCTACATCAAATCACTATTTTGAAATTTACCCCTGTTTCTTGTTTCTTGGGATTAATAGAGATCACTATCATTATTATGTTCTTATGAACAAGTTAGTTATTGAAAATTTGTAAATTCAAAGATAGAATATATCTGAATTAAAGGGGTTATATTTTTTAGGAGTGATTAATTTTTGGGAAAGAAAGTTTTTGGGGTAGTAGAAAGCCAAAAACTTTCTTTCCCAAAAAAGAATATATCCTACTTGCTTGGTTGAAATTCTCATATTTTTTCAGAACTGGAAAGAAATGAGTCATCCCACAGTCCATCTACTGCTCTTTGGAATCATAACCGCTCTGGATATAGTTTATAAAATTCTAGTAGTCGGGGATATGGAAACAAGTTATGCCTCCCATTTAGGAGGAGCTTTGGTAGGTTTGTTATTTGGAGTAAATATACTGAAGAATTTAAAAATAACGAAGACTGAAATAATCATTTGGCATATTTCCTTGGTGACCCTGGCAATTATTTTGATTATTCTCGTTATATTAGGTGTTTATATGGGACCCAACTGTGAATCTGATTCAGATTATATAGGAAATTGCACATATCTGTATAATTATTGAAGAAATAAACAATTATGAAAGTATATCGTTTATTCTATTCTTTACGATGGATATGACGTATTTCTGCTATGAATATAATATTTTATAAAATATCAATTTCAAAAATTCATCCTATGGTTTTTAACATGATTTGTCACTTTGTTTAAAATTTGACTGACTACTTCTATAGGCAAATAATAATTATATAAAATTTCAATATCAACATCTTGTAGATGTTCGTTTGCCAAAAACTCCAAGAAAGTAGGTAATACATTGTTACGGTTTGGATGGTCCACCCCGTAACTTCAAAAACTAAATTGGTTTGATAAAGGAAGATCCGAAGTCCGAAGAGGAAGATCAAACTGTTTGATATTCCTCTTGAACTTATGATGCACTGTTTGGAACCTTTGGTGTAGTAATTAATATTACTGGAGTTTTTTCCCAACACCAAATCGTTATTTTTAACACCTCGACACGTGTTTCGATCACCAAGTGATCATCTTCAAAGAGGAAAATCGAAACACGTGTCGAGGTGTTAAAAATAACGATTAGGTGTTGGGGAAAAAACTTCAGTAATATTCATTCCTCTTGAAGATGATCATTTGGTAACCGAAACACGTATCGAGGTGTTAAAAATAAGAGTTTGGTGTTGGGAAAAAAACCAGTAATATTTATTATAGTTAGTTGAGTGCTTTAATGTTGAGAAGATGAGAAGGAATTGGTTTTCATCGTAGTCTCTGCTCCTGGTTGTGGAAGAGTCTAATATCTGTGTGGAGAAGCAGTTCAAAGTAGGAAGAGCTATTCGCCAATAATATTTACTACAGGGTGGATAAAATACTGCATACGCAATTGTGCCTTTTCCTTTGTTACTTATTTTGAATACAAGAGGATTTGTGGACGTAAGGAACTCAAGAGGTATAGTCGACGTAACTGGTATTGTGCATAGTTAAAGGTGTCGGCGCCTCAAAGACAAAAAAACAATCCAGAGAAATAAAGCCGCTGCCAACTAGTCCACGTGGACTGAAGAATTGGCGGTTCGTATTGGATAATTTTTGCTAACCGAGTTTTATGATTGGCTGAAGAGTCCTGAAATTAAATTTGAAGTGATCTTACGGCGACGAATAGAATGCGAGGATGATTATAACAGTCGTGTTGTCAATGTTCAGTTCAGGAACTGATCACGATTTGAGTGTTGAAATTCGATATTGGTGCAGTTATAATTACTTAAAATTTTTGTTATCTGTTTAAAATGTGGCGTCTTTGGACAAGTACTAATAGTAATAACGAGTGTGATAACAACGCAGACTTTTTTCTGTGTAGTGATTCCAATAGCGATGGTGAACGATGAAAAAGAGATACCAGTGAACAAGATTCGGATGCATTTGATTATTGAAAAACAGAGAGTATATTTCATTGTATATAAGAATCTATATCTCAAGTTTGGTTTCGAGGGAAACAAAATATAACAAGCAACATCAGATTTGACCGAAATTCCTTTCTCAACTGTACGTAAAATAGTCAAAAACAAACCTTATGAACGCAAGACGCGGTGTGATACAGGATTACCAAAACCTTTAAATGTTCATCAAATAAAATCATTGAAAAAACAATACAGAACTGTTACAAAAGCAATGAGATTCCTATATTTGAAATCATAAGGAAGAAATTGTGAGCTGCTGTGACAAAACTCTTCAGAATTGGATGAAGAAACTAGGCTTTAGATTTAAAATAATAAACAAACGTCAAGCACTTATGGAAAGCAGAAGAATAGTGGAATTGCGTAACAAATACTTAGAACATATAACTAAATATAGACAAGAACAACGTCAAATTTTCTATTTGGCCGAATCTTGGTATGACACCCAAGACACAGTTACGAAAAGGTGGACTGATGGTTCGAGAATGTGTACGCCTAACATGCCTGCATTGCGGAGGAAGTAAAGGATGGATTCCGAATTCTTTGAAATTATGTGGAAAAAACTTGAGGACTGCAATGTTGACTATCATAAGAACATGGAACCTAATATTTTTGAGGAATAGTTTGAAAACACATTGATCCCAAATTTGGATGCGAATAGTGTAATAATTTTTGACAACGCTTCCTATCATTCGCGACTGCTTATCAAAGTAACGAATAAAAACTCGAGGAAAAATGAATAGATAGTTTTTAATGGATAACAATTTGTATTTTGAAGATTACCATTCCAAAAACCAACTACTTGAAGTTTTACAGACAAAAACATTTGAAAAAGTGTATGCCCATGAGAGTATTGCTGAAAAGTATGGACACACCATACTGAGACTTCCCCCATTTTTGTGTTTTCAGTTCCATAGAGTTGATTTGGGGAAAACTGAAACAAAGTATCAGGCGTAAAAATCATTTTTCAAAATTTGATAAGAAGGTAATAGAGCTAGTTAAAGAAGAAGTATCTAATATTACCGAAGAAGAGTGGCAGAAAATGATAAAAAAAGTAATTTTAGTTGAAAAAGACTATATGGAGATTGGACACTTCCATATTAATGGTGGATATAAATTCATTATTGATTCAAATGACGACAGTGATAGTAAAACAGAGAATACGGAAGAGGAATTATCAGAAGCTTTCGAAGAAAGTTAGTGAAGTGTTTTTGAAGCGATCGATTGTATATATAGGTATTATATAGTTATTGTGATTCTTATGTAATCAGAAATAATAACGAAATCAGTTAGCTCCCTAACTATATTATTAAAAGGGAGCTGTTGGAGGTAGGATGCACTATATCGTTTAATTGAACTATATATACATACACCGATGATTTTTTTCTAAATATGTTTGAAAGTTCTTATAATCTATTATATTAAAAGCATAGAGAATAAGATGCTGAATAGGACATATGAAAACCTAGATAACATTGAAAAAGATGAGAGAAACGAACACGATCGAAATATGTCGAACTCGTGGTGGCATCGCTGGCACTGAAGCCGTTCGCTGGTAAATAAAATAAATTAATGGTAGTGGGAACGTCGCGACCTTAAGAAGTAACGACACCATTTGTGTTAGTATATTTAAAAATAACATTAATTACACTTGCCTGTTAGTAGAAGCTTGCCGTTTCTTGATGATTCAAGAGAATTTGCATTTCGTGAATTGAAAAGAGGGACTGGGTTTCCCAAATACCTATACGGAAATATTTGAAATAGAGTTTCATTGCCTTCGTAGCCGGTTTAAGTGACAACGGTGTAGGAGAAATGGAGGTTTCCATTAATGAGGAAGAATCAGAATCAATCGAACTTCCTGGGAACTCAAGAAATTTCATTCAAATCCCAAGTTCGACCATTCTAGAAAAGACTGAACTCACTGAATTCTACAGCAGCATCTTCAGAAATGTAAGAACATATTTCAGTATTCTGAAACCGTTTGAAAATTTATTATTTCTTCATAAACACACGTAGTAGAAGTATTTTGAACAATTTGGGAGTTATTCATTCATTTAGCACAAAACTAATTCATATCACAATATACGAGGTCCGGTTATTAAATAACGTGACTGCGGGCACCCTAGAGATGTAGGGAAAAAACGACTAGTGCGTTGGGTATCTGGGTAGCGGTTTGAAAAAAAATGTGTTTTTTTTCGTGCCGAAAATCATATGTGACGAAAACCAGGAACAACGTATCTCAAATTCCTCATTAAAAAACTCCAACTTAGTGCTATAAATTGTTGTAAGAGGCCTGTGGAGACAATTATCTATCTCGTGCGCGTGTTTTGAGTGGTGTAAGCGTTTCAGTGAGGAACGAGAGAGCAAGGATGTCCAAATCAAAATTCAAGGCAATGTTGATCGTTTTTTCGACATTAATGGTAACGTGATAACTGAATGGGTTCCAGAAAGTTAGACTGTCAACCAGACTTACTTTTTGTAACTTTTGCCAACACTGCGAGAACGAGTTCGTAAGAAACAGCCCGAGTTGTGGAAGAACAACTCGTGGATTTTGCACCAGGACAACGCAACTGCCCATAACGCGCTATCTATGAAGCGGATTTTGGCCAATAAACGAACTCCAGTGCTCGAACACGCGCCGTACTCGCCAGATTTGGTACCGTGCGACTTTTTTTTGTTTCCGAACATAAAATCTGTTTGAAAGGGACCCGATTTGAGTCGAAGGAAGCGGTAAAGCAAAAAACGTCAGAGCTCCTAAAGTCCCTCACCAAAGAAGACTTCCAGCATTGCTTCGTAACCAGTCTCGTTATTTAATAGCCGGACCTCGTATCGACTGCCAAAACACAGTAACTGACATGGAAAAGAAAAATGAGTGACACGCACATTGGTACAAATACCGTTTTTTGAAAGCATCTTTAATAAAGCCGGTCTATTCATCATTCACTGGTTCCAGAGATATGCCAATCAAAACTAGACTTTTACCTTTTTCTTGTATGTTCGACACATTATTAATCGCTGGCAAATAGGCAGACAAAATGAATGAGTTCATTTGAAAAATGAGGTATTGCACTCTCAAAAACCTATAAATTTTAAAACATACAGGGGCTGTTCAAAAACTAAGGTGAATGTTGAAATTTCGCGGGTTCAAAATTCGTTGGTACTCTGGCATATGTTCACAGTTCCAGCTGTTTAGCATGTTATTTGCTGGTGGGAGGCATAAAAGTTAGAAAAGAATTTGCATAAAAAGTTCTGTAAAAAATGGAATTAAGTGCTCAAAAAACTTGAAAATATTGATAGTGGCATACGGTGCTAATACTCTGAGTCTTAAAAATGTTTACAAGTGGTCAAAGCTTTTCACAGAAGGTCGACAAGGTGTGAATGTCGCAACTTACTCTGGACGCCCCAGCACATCAAATACCGATAAAAATGTTGAGAAAGTGAAGCAAATTATTATGGAGAATCGTGAAACCACTATTGGAGAAGTTGCTGAAGATGTCAGCATATCGGTTGGCTCATGCCATGCAATTTTTTCGTAAATTTTGGGCATGAGGCGTGTGGCAGCGAAGTTAGTTCCAAAAGTGCTGAATTTCGACTGAAAAAAACATCGCTTAGGAATTGTTGAGTAACGTTAACAACGATACAGATGTGCTTGAAAGGGTCATAACTGCTGACAAAGCATAGGTAGGTTAGATTAGGTCCAAAGTGGGTCTATTCGCCCTCCACCGCAATCCGCAAGTGATTATTGTGGCTCACACCTATTCTCACTCGGCCAAATAAACCCAGCTTCTCAACGAAGCCGATTAGTTTGTATGGTGAGTGATCTTTCAGGTCAGGTGGTAAAAGTATGGCTCTGCCGAACTCTAAAGACCTGATTCGGTCCCCAGCGGGGCAGGCACAAAGCATATGCTCTGTTAATGAGGTACTCGGATAGTCAAGTTGCAAGAATCCCATCTTGATACCCACGACAACCTTCCCATATGAGAGTTTTTGCAAGTCAGCTACACCTGACGATGCATTACATTCAACCCTGCAGGTTTTGGTTTTGGTGAATCATCACTTAAGCGCATACGTTTGCTAACCTGCTCATGGGGGGGTTTGTACACCCATCTGAGACATATTCTGCTTACGCCGCTCAAGAATTTGGTTTTATAAAGTACCCCGCTCTTGAGGAGACGACTCAGTCGTTTCCTGACGACTCAGTCGTTTCCTGGCTGCACCACCAAACCTTTTTTTAAGGTTCAGTTGTTGGATCAGGAGTTGGGGTGTTGAGAGGCTCTTGCTCGTCAACTGAATTTACAGAGAGGTCAGTTGGAGTCGTAAACTCGACATCCACCTCCTTTGTAGACTCGCTCCTGAACTTAATTTACAGGGAGGTCCGTTGGAGTGGTAAACTCGACACCCATCTCCTCTGTGGACTCGGTCCTGAACTAAATTTCCAGGGAGGTTAGTTGGAGTCGTGAACTCGGCATCCATCTCGTCTATAGACTCTCTCCTGAATTACATTTACAGGGAGATCAGTTGTAGTCGTAAACTCGGCATCCATCTCCTCTGTAGACTCGCTCCTGAATTAAATTTACAGGGAGATCTGTCAGAGTCGTAAACTCGACATCCATCTCCTCTGTAGACTCGCTCCTGATCTAAGTTTACAGGAAGGTCAATTGTAGTGGTAAGCTCGACATCCATCTCCTCTGTAGACTCAGCGTCAGAAAGAATTTTTAAGTTTACTCTATCCATAAAAGTCCCACGAGTAGCTAGGGAAAGAAGGTCAATCACGACAGAGCCCCGCATTACCGTGACAAGGCGATGCTACGACGAGAGGGCGCCCGGTATCTCGAAGGTTCCGTAGAGACAGCTGATATAGGTTCAGGGTCATTCATCCTCTCGGCACAGATACACACACCTTAGGATTAAGCCATCGTTGGGATGCCATTCAGTTAGGAAATAACAGAACCACAAGTGATTCTGTCATTCCCGTATGGGGGCTACGTGGAAGCAGGCATCCGATGGCCGGTTTGCTCAACCCCCCATATCCCAAGCCAATGCACTCGCCGCCGAAAACAGCATGGACAGTGGTTCAGGCAGTGAAAGATGAACAAGAACAGCCAAACCGCAAATCATAGGTATATCCAATCGTTCCAATGGATGAGCCCAGGAGAGTCAAAACCATAAACAGCATGACAAGTTTGATCAATCGTAAACGTTTTGCTGACGTCTTCGATTACCGTGGTATAGTGGATCAGAGTTCTTGCCACATGGTCGTACGGCCAATAAAGAGTATTATCTTGAAGTTATGCGCTGCTTGCGAGAAGCAATACGAAGAAAACGTCCTGTATTATGGAAAAATAATTTATGACTTTTGCATCATAATAATGCACCTGCTCACTCGTCATTACTTGTTAGTGATGTTTTGGCTGAATACAACAACGTAATCATGTCTCAGCCACCCTATTCACCAGATTTGCCTCCTTGCGACTTTTTCTTATTTCTAAATCTGAAAAGACCCATAAAAGGACGGCGTTTTGTGACGATTAAGAAGATAAAAATTGAATCGCTAAGAGAGTTCAAGGACATACCAAAAAGTCTATATCAGAACTGCTTCGAGTATTAGAAAGAACGATAGCACAAGTGTATTATATCTGAAGAGATATACTTTGAAGGGAACAAAATGGAAATTGATGAATGAATAAATTTTTTTTGAGAAAAATGAAAATTCACTTTTTGAACAGAGTAGTATTCTAATCGAGGTTCTCGAGGGCAACCAATCTAATGAACTCAATTATCCCTTTTTTGAGTTGATTTGGGACAAGAGAAAAACATTTTGTGAGAGGAATTATAAAATAATAGAGTTGAAATGGGGTAATGTAAGATCATTTTATCCTTTTTATCATTTCAAACATTTTAAATCTCTGCTCTACCGTAGGTACCTAATATCTAGTTATTTAAATGTTTCTAGCACCTCGAATCAAGTAGTGATATTGAAGGATAGCAAATTAGCATCACAACACTTCTTGATTTTTTTTTTCATATCAGTAGATATTGCATTGTGTGAATCATTGGAGTTTTTGTTGTGTCGTGTAATCAGCGAGAAGAGTGAAATTTCCAGATATGCTCAAATTTGCAATTTCATTGACATATAATAAGAATAAGATGGGTCCTGAATCTGACCCTTGTGGAACACCACACAAAGCCTATGGAATCTCATAAGTATGATTTTAGTGTATCCCGAAATTATAGTACATTCCTGAACACCTGGGAGCAATGGCATTGACAACAGTGACAACCAGGCAGTCTTTTAATTTAATTCGATTCAATTTTGCCGTACATCTAGATTTCGATATGATTCGGCCGGCTGATAGTCACTGTTGTCAGCGACTGCTCTCCAATTGTGTTGGTAACCACATACCACATTCCACATTAAATACCGACATCATACTGCCGTCGCTCTCTGGTGGTCAGGGTAGGTACTATGAACTTCAGGATACACTAAAATTGTAGCTTCTATTGGCTTTTTAATCTTTAGTTTGGTCAATCACCCCTGTTAGAACAGTATTATTTTTAGCCATCTGTCTTCCAAGAGTCATCAATTCAACTCTTTACGAGAATTCAGGGTGAAACATACATTGATTGATAGATAGACGTTATTTAATTCCTATGTTTGACATCAATTAACCTTTTCTTGAGTCACAATTCCACATATAAATTCAAAGTTTGCGATCGTTTCCATCATTACTAGAACTAGGAGGCATTATACTATTTAGGATAATCAGGCGTTTCTGACACATATTTTGATTGAGTGCATCTCAAACCAGTGTACGAAGTCTATTCAAAAAATAGGGTGAATTTTGTTTTTTCTAAACAAATATTCATTTATTCATCGATTTCTATTTTGTGCCAACGTTTTTTCCAATCCTCTAAGCAGTTCTGATGGTATGAGCTTGGGCTCTCTAAGCAATTCGGTTTTTATCTTCAATTTTGGAAACAGAAAAAAGCCGCAGGTGGCCAAATGTGGTGAATACGGTGGCTGATAGTCTGTTTCACGTGTACTCGATTTAGCTCTTTTTGGTGACATCTTTCAGCCCTGTCCAAAAATTACGACCAAGGTGTCATTCGATTCGTATTTTTGCCTAGAAAGTTTGAGGAAAGGTCCGAAAACGCGCCGATAAAAATTACAAAAGTTATAAACAATTAAGTGAAAAAAAAATGGGC